GACGTCCAAACAAGCAAAATAAACTACTACTCCCCATGATGCTGCTATGCTATGCTAACTGTTTAATGAGAAATCTTTGAGTCCAATGCAATTAATGTGCTTGTTTTATTGATATTATTATCACAAATAAATCCAAGCTACGTTTTGACTTGTGTTGAGTAAAGATGATTCGTCAGATATATTCCTTGTTTTTATTTTGCTTATTGTATTTATATTCATTTATAAAGTGTGTGTGTGTGTGTGTGTGGGTGTTTGTTTAGGTCCCTTTCTGCTTTAGTTCACCAAGAAACGGATTGTGCGTCATCTTACAATACGAAATCATGTCAGAGAAAAGTCATTTCAACCGCTTACCACTGCTTCTCTCCCACTCCTCACGGTCAGCCTTGTCCCACACTAGTTCTACCTCCTGACGGCCTCCATCGGCTCCTCATCCAGCGGCATCCCCTCAGCCCGACCCCTCTACGCCCAGACAGGCTGTCCCACCACAGATACCCACGTCGGGAGCGGAGACGGACGGAAGCACGACGGCTGGGGAGACGAGCAACTCCGCCGGAGAAACTGTAATGACATCCTGATGACAGGCCCGAGGAGGGAGAGGGGGCGGGGGGAGGGGGAGGAGGGGGGGGGGAGAAGGGTGTAAGGCGAGCCATTCGAGTAGCTTTGAATAGATCTGTTGCGCTCCGACCCTGCAACCTGTCTCCAAACCCGCGCTGGTAATACAGGATGAGGAAACAGGAGCGGCCAGGCCTCCAGCTGTGAGTCGTTTCCCACTCGAGCCCACTGATTCCTCCTGGTTTGCGGGGGGGGTTTGGGGGGTGGGGGGCCGGATGCATGACCTGTCTGTGGAGGATCAGGGCTCCGCGGGGGAAAAGCCCTGCAAGCATCGTTCCTTTTTGCTTCACACAACTTGGATCAAATTGAAACGTGTTGCGGCCGAGCACTGTTCCCTGTGCTTAAAACAAAAGAGTGACTTTTGACCACCGAATTTTGAGAGGGGTGACTTTGACCTTTGACCTCCAAAATCTGATGGAGGTTTTCGCCAAATTGGAAAAGAGATTCCCCCCAGTTTGTTGGATCTTAACTGTCCTTCTGGCCTTCTGGATGTCTCGCCGCCGTCGGCCAGTTCTCACGGGGGAGCTGTGCATGTACATGCATGCGTGTGCGTGCGTGCGTGTGTGTGTGTGTGTGTGTGTGTGTGTGTGTGTGTGTGTGTGTGTTTAGGCTTAGAGGCTGTAGCTGCAGGTCGGGGGAAAAGGCAAAGAACAATCCCCCTAAACAGCTGTAGCAACAGTAACTGTAGCCCGACAGAGACCACGTGGAAAGGCCCAAGAATCGATTAGCATTCCAGCAACCACAACGGCCAAATATACACCAAAAAGACTTCGCACACACACGCAGGCCCTTTTATTATAGTGACCAGTTCACCCGGAGCAGCAAGCGCTGCTTTGAGAAGCCGTATGATTTACGAAGGACTGCAACCCTCTGGCACATCGCTCCCTTCAAAAATAACTCCACAAACTGTAATTTCGGAGTCCGAAACGTCTCAGCTGCTCAGTCGCCTTTTCTGTGTCATGCGCGGAAATACCAAGGCTCATGTTCTGCAGCTCTCAGCGTCGGTCCACATCGTAAGCGGTCGACGCAACCGAACGCGCGCTAAAATGAACAAGAAGAAAAGAAAAAAAAGAAAAAACACACGTGCGGCCCGAAAAATGTATTGACTTGTGGTGACGGAACGACCCGTTAGGCCCCGAGTTGTTGTTGTTGAAAAATCTATTTACGGCAGACAGGGACGGAGCTGCGTGTGGAGACGGGTGATCAGATTTCAACAGAGATGAACGATGGGTCGACTGCGTGTGTGTGTGTGTGTGTGAGTGCGTGTATGTGTGTTCTTTGGTGGGTGGCGGTGGGGCCGGAGGCGGCGACTTAGCGCAGAGATTAGACGCAGGAGCCCGCTTCGCTTTTCAAAGGGGCTCCCAAATCCGTCGCTAAAGAGCCATGAGATTACAAACCCGAGATTGAGCCGGTAGATCAGAGGGACGATTGGTCCTGTGAGAAGAGATGAGGGTCTTTGAATAGTTTGCCTCCCTGCCGCCGTTCTGCACTGAAACGTCATCAAACCTTTTAGCGCCATGACGGTTAAATAACACCGCCGCTCGTCTTTTCAAAAGTAAAAAAAGTTCAGTATTTTCTGGCGCGTCTTAGGCTCAGTTTTAGGATTAATCATCCCGTTAAGTGAGCATCTTATTAAGCATCTTATTCAATTAAAAGCTAAACCAAGCCACACTCTGAACACTCACACATTATCTAGCGAGGATTAACAAGGTTACAAGACAGATTCATAACAACCCAGTGGAGATTAAAGACCTGCTTTAAAAATATACGTATCAAGTAGCCCCCTTGTTATCTGTGCAGACACTGGAGATTAACAGTGACGACTTGGTTTGGGCCCCGTGTTTGTTTGAGGTCCCTCCTGCTTGTGGCTGATAAAACGATCACCGTGTTGTCTGGTGCAAAGTTCCAGCTAATCTCTGACACCCCTGTGGTTGGAAATGTGACCTCTGTGCAGTCCAATCTGTCAAATACCAACATCCTTCTGGGATTCTGGTTTAATTACTGTAAACAAGAGGAGCTATCGGAGCAGAGACAGGCGGCCTGCGCGGGACTTCCAAGTCAAGTGTGTCAAATGATGGTTTACACCACAAACACCTTTTGTTGCATGAAGCTAAATGTTTGAATGAGGGTCAAAAGGGGCTCTTTAGAAGTTACCTAACAATCGTTTGTTAGGTAAGAGCCCTGTGGACTTGTAACTGTAACTCAGTGAAACTGACTGTTTTCACTCTGATAAACATGTTATTTCACCATAAAACATTTGAAAAGGCTGTTTTTGTCAGAATCCGTCTTTTTCTACCTCGTCTCCGTCTCCATTTTTACAACGTGGTCAGAGGTAGAACGTACAACTTCCGGGTTTGTCACGTGATGTCGTCGGCCACGAAAAGGCCACCGCTGGGAAAGAGACGTCTGTCACTCGGGATTCCACCATTTCGAGCAGGTAGATTAAAATGCTCCCGTATTCAAATAACAATAAACAAAAAGTGCACTGACAAGCCGATGCAGAGTCTTGTTCCTCGGGACGCTGGAGAACATCTACACTTTTAGTCAGTGGAAAGTCTGTTGCATCACGTAGAGCGGAATAGAGGTCTACTAGCTCACTCCCTGCAGAGCTCTGACCTCTTTAGCAGTCAGCTCTCTCCACCGTCACAGTCCGATCAAATGTGCTGCAGGGGAGAAAGAAACATGACATGAGAGGCCTCCCCTACTTCTTTCATGGTCATATTTTGATGTGCGTGTGTGTGTGTGTGTGTGTGTGTGTGTGTACATTTCACAGACGGGTTGCCCCATTCTTGCCTCCGGCAGGTGTGGCGGTTGAAGGTGAGCTCGAAACCTCAGGCGGCTCGTTTGTGTGCACGTCTCCGCGGTGCCTGAGTCAGCCGTCACACCCGAGGGCCCCCAGACGTGTCGTGCCTGCCTCCGAGGGCGTTTTACGTCACAGATGTGTGTGTGTGTGTGTGTGTGTGAGGTATAAAGTCATCTTTGACGTCACCTTTTCCAGGCCTCCTCGCCGGCTGCACCCCTGATCTCAGAGTTCACAAAAAGACGACACCTCACCGACGGACGAGGTCGACTCCCGACTCGAGGAGTCGCAACGCGCTGGAAATACGACTTCAAACGACAACATGTGCACACGCGCTGGTCTGAAGTAACCGAGGTGTGTGCAACAGAGCCCAGCGAGGCGGTTTGACCATCGTGTCTGAGGGGGGGCGGTTCTCGCCCACGTGGGGAGTGCGTGCGCTTCACCGAGAGCCAAATGGCAGCGAAGGCCGCTGGATGTGAGACGGGGGGACGGCCCGTTTGACACCTGTCTGAAGAGACAAACGACACTTTTGGGGGGAGTTGTTGTGTGAGCACGACACAGTCGGACAACAATATTACTTAATAAGAGGTACTAATTTGTATTTTTAATGATTAATGGACTTTTTTTACAACAATTGACCATTTCGCTCTCAAGAAGCTGCGTTTAAAGACACAACAGGCTTCCCGTTCACCATCCTGAAGAGTAAAATCTGCTTTTGGTGAAATGCATTTGCCTCCTGGGCTTTTTCTACGGCCTCTCAGACAGGAACACGCGTGTGTGCTGTATGAATACACCCGAGTAGAGTCGTGGGCAGTCATGGGCAGTCGGGCGAGCCGCGCTGAGTCAAAGCGGGAGTGACAACTCGGGCGAAAAAACCACCGAGACTCACCGAGCTTCGCAGAACGCACGGTGACGGCCCTGAAACGTGACGGACGGCGGAAGCACGCGAGAGAATGATGGAGGCCGGTCGGCTAAAAATAAAAGAAGAAAAAAGCTCGACCTTTGGGTGCATTTGCTCACGTAGGCTTTGTCTTTTTTTTTAGGGCGTGCTGTCACATTAAAGTGGAAATGTCAACAAAGGCCCCTACATTGAAAAGGAAACAGTGCTGTATGCGAGGAAACCAGGCGCAGGAGGGGAGGAAAAGTAGATGAGTTGAGGAAACAAAGGGAAATAAAGGAGCTGAAGGGAAAGAGATTGTAATATTAATGACAGAGATGTGAACACATTTTCTCCTCCATCATAAAGGGTTTATTTATTCAGTATGTGACAGAGAGACAGGCAGTATATTACAAGGAGGCAAGGAAAGGAGACGTGTTTTGCCTCCTGAAGATGAAGGGCGCCTCCTGCTGGTCAGATTTAAATCGTGCTTTGGATCTTCTTCATTCAAAAGCCAAAAGAATCCGATTTATTGGTTTAAACCATCTAGTTTAAAGCAACTAACAAGCATCATCATATTATTATTTGTACCAACGGTTATCATAACTAACCCTCTCGAGAATTCTTAATACATTCATTGTTTTTTTAGGACCATTTCTGTTCCTATAATTTGGGAAAATCAGCTCTGGAGTAAAGTGCCAAAAGGAAGAGGAAAGAAATAAAGAACTTTATTTACTCATTCACACCTTGTCACACCTTTAACTGCGTAGTCTTTTATTTTATTTGATTTTTTTAGCATTACAGGACAAAAAAGACAACGGATTAAAACACATTACAAGAAAAACAAACAAAAATCGTAGATTAAATAATATTTAAAGCCACGTTGTTTTGTGTCTCAAAATTAGGAATGTTAAAAGGTGACGCTTTGCACGGCCTCACAATCAGAAAATGTAAGTCAGTTATGTCACTATATCAGTGCTCCTGACATTATCTCACCACACACACATTCACATTTCACACATGTCATATAGCTGTGCAGCACATTGCATCTCCCTGATGTCTGAGGAGAGAAAAAGTCCTTCGTAAATATATTAAATTGTGCACTAGTTATATATCGCTCGTCCAAATCTGCCTGCCCTCTGCACAGGTTAAGTGGGATAATCCTCAACTAATCCGGTTATCACTGCCTTTAATCTCTTAATCCGTTTTTTACTAAACCATAGATTGGATCAAGTTTGCCGACAGGTATCGAGGCCTCTTTTCGTGGTTTAAAAGCACTTTTGGAAAGTAGACATCGCCACGAAACCCCGAGAAAGGGCAATATTACCTGTAGTCACCTGAGCCTTAATGATGTCATGTGGTGCGCTGCTGCACCTTAAGGTGAACAATAATAAAGTTATTATAGACGTCCCCTTTGTGAAGTAAAGTTATTCGATATTAGTATTGAAAACAGTATTTCGTATGTGTCCTCTGTGTGGTGGGAGTATGCGGGATGAAGTAAATGAAATGATGACAGTTCAGATGAAAGGGGACGTGGCCACGCCCTTTGTTTACAGGACATCCCGTGTTTGTCTAACCTCTTCCTCACATTGTCTGTGCGCTCCGGGCTCCTTCATCGCCAGCAGCTAGTTGCTCTTCGTCTTCAGCTCTGCCAGCTTGCTGGTGACAAAGTTCCACTTGAAGGACGCGTCCTCGCTCCCTCCTCCCAGGGAGACGTATTTGGAGAAGCTGTTGTTGCTGCTCCGTCCTCCTCCTCCTCCTCCTCCTCCTTCACTCTCCTCATCCTGAGGGATCTGCCCCCCCTGGCTCTCCTCCCCTCCCGCCTGTGTCACCCCCTCCTCCCCCTGGCCCTCTGCGGCCTCGCTGGCTGCAGCAGCAGCAGCAGCAGCCTCCGCCTGCTTCTTGGCCGCCCAGTTGGCTGCAAAGCTATCCCAGAATGCCGTGCGCTTAGCGGGCCGGGGGGGCTCCTCCGGCTTCATCGCAAGTGGGCTGAGGATTTGGAACAAAGTTGTGAACGAAGTTGAAATGCACTTTCTTTTTGTTGAGTTAGAAACATCCAGAAGCCGGTTAGCTTATCTTAGCGCGGAGACAGAAAACTGGGTGAAACAGCTAGCCTAGCTTCGTTCAAAGTAGCACATTTTGAATTGAAAGCTCATTATTATGGTTTTAGTTAGATTTTGTTACAGTTTCGTCATTCAGCGCGTGGGTGAGCTGCTGATATTTGTCCAAATACTCTGTTTCACTCACTGGTCCGCGACCGGCGGGCTCTCAGTGTCCTCCAGAAGCTGGTGTTCGTCCTCCTTGGTGAAGAGAGATGATAGCCTGTTCCAGCTTTTAGTCCCGGCCCCCTGCATCTGGACACACAACCCACCAAACGCGTGGGGTCAAAGGTCAAAGCAGGTAAGCATTTAGGTGGTTCTGGAGGATCGGCCGAACAATGGTCTTCAGAAGCGGATGAGGGGAAGACTTTTTTTAAATGACTCTACTTGTAACAAATATGTACATTTAACAATCATAGTATTCATTGACTTACTTTCTTGGCCAGCTGGGACACAGCGTTCGGCCCCTCGTCCTCCTGCATGGGACTCACATCGTTCTGCACCTCTGTGACCTGCGCAAAGAGAACAAAAGACACAATGGACGTCCACACAGCCACGTCCTGATGTGCATACAGATGCACGGGATGTGTGCACCATCTGCTGCGGCGTGTGGATACTGCAACGCATCACAGGCACGCGAGGCGGAGGCGGCTTCCAGAGATCCCTGTGATACGCTTTGGTCGTCTCACATTTCACAAGTGAGGAATTGTGACTCGAATAGCCCTACAAATGGAAACTATCCGGACCCCCCCCTCCCCCCCAACACACACACACCCTCCCCCCATGTGTCAGTCGGTGGAATGCCAACTAATCCGTGTGCCAGGATCCGGTTTCTGAGCCGTCCTGAGATGTGGGTCGACCGGACGTCGGGCGGAGACGCTGTGTTGTAACGTACACCAGAGCTAGTAGAAGAACAAGTGGACAGACGGCGAAGTACAAGTACAACAATGTAAATACTCCATTACAGGTGCAATTCCTGCGTTTAGAATGACTGTTGCTCGGCTGGTGGAGCTACTTTGAATCATTGTATGAATAGTTTTGTACATCCAGTGGTTCCCAAATGAAGGCGTGTAATTTAATTCTAGGAGGTCATGAGATGGTTTACTCAAATGTATTCGAGCCTTTTTAACGTGTAATGTTGATATTTTCCTGAATATTTCTGTAGAGGATCAACAACCCATGAGATTGGTGTGTTTTATACCGTTATCATTGTGAAATCCAAAGTAATATTGTATAGTGGGGGATGAAGTACCAAGTGAAGTAGAATGGAAACTACATAAAAAGGGAAATGTGACGCACTACTGATGACGCGCGTCAACGAGATGTTCTTCTTGATGTAAAATACAGGAACAAACTGCTTCAACGGGGCTGTGAATACTTCTGCTACTGGAAACAGAAACGTATCACATTCATTCACACCAACAACATAATCAAAATGGCCTTAAAGTTCCCTTTGCACGGAAAACACAAGAGCTCATCCGACCCTGCGCTGAATAAATGATCAGACCTGGTGACCTTCTGACTTCTGCTCCGACAAGCGCAACGTTCTGATACTTCAACGCGCCCATTGGAATCCGCCCGACGGAGAAGGTCACAGGTTCCGTACCTCTTCCGGGGGGCCCTCCTCGTACTCCGGGTTGATGGTCTTCAGCACTTTGCTCTTGTAGACTTTCCACACCGGATTCATGCTCGCACAGGTCGCCGCTCAACCCTCAGGGGGTCGCGCTTATAGGGGGAAGACCTCTTCGCGGCTCCGTCTCTCCGCTCGCCGCCTCAGTTGGGCCCGACGTGGATCCGGTTCCCGACGCGCCGAAATGTTCTCAGAGGAGCCGGTTCAGCACCGAGGCCGGCGCTGGTCCATGGTGTTTCCTGCCGCCGCCGGTGACGTCTGGCTCGTCCAGCGAGCGGAGCTGGAAGCTGCTTTCGTCCCCTCAGGGTGTCTGAACAGGTAAAGCTGGGAAGCTGCGCTGCAAGCGCCCACGCAGGTGTAGACACACACACACACACACACACACACACACGCACACACACTGAATTCAGCGTCACGCTTCAGAATCCCTGCCTTGGTTACCTGGAAACAGGTGTGGATTTCCTCCTGCATATTTCAGAGGGTCTCTTTCCCAGAGCCGGAGGTCCATTGTCAGCCCGTGTTGGGAGACGGGCTCCTGTGACTCTGACGCACACGCACAACGTGGAGAGCGTTGGCGTGTTCTCCATGATTCGCTTTGTTTTTTTGGGGTTCATGCTGCAGAAACTTGGCTTCCTTAACCAAGTTCAAGTTTTTTCCTCATACATTTTATTTTTATTTAATTCAGTTTCCATCACTGTTTGGTGTGAACTCGTCATAATGTGCATCAGCAGAAAAAAAAAGGTGTCCTTTTTTTCGGTAAACACGCACAAACTACTGATCTGTAATCCCCTCCACGTGCACACCTGCTGTGCATGGACACACACACACTCACACACTCACACACACACACACACTGTTACCAGCCACTTCCCTGCAAGCGGTCCTCCTCTGCGCTCATTGGTTGCTGCAGCGTATCAGTTGAACGCCAATCAGCTTCAGGATCACTGCGAAGGGTTTTTCTTTTTTGTGACCAGTCGCTTGGCAACCTGAGAGCGAGCTGACGGCGCCGCGGAGATAAAGAGAGATGTATAAACTTTTGATGACTGATTGAGTTTCACCGGACGCGCACAACAACACGGACAAGTGCAGAAATAAAACATGTTTCGACTATAAAAGCAGGAGTGCGGTACTTGCAACCCACTTATGTAAATCTAACCAAATCAGCGTGAAGGATAATCGTTATTGATCAGGATAATTGGATGAAACAGTTGACAGTTGGACTATAATGAAGCCGTGAGGTCCATAAGATGGACCTGAATTATGAATGCTCCTCTATAGACGTGCACGCAGACTGATGGATGTCTGTTATTTGAGGACCAGCCGGGTTTGTTTGCGGCTGCAGCAGCTCATGTTTCACAGTGGAAAAGAGTCACAGCGAGGCAGAGGGTTCTTATGGAGGAGAACAACAACCATACGATAATAATTCATTGGTTACAAATCTACCTAATATGTATCCAGTGCGCAGATATGTGTTTGCTTATACTCATTCATATGTCACCTCTCACTTAAGGTCACAATCCTTTTTTCATTGGAGAAAGTATTCAGATATTTTGTTTAAGTGGTAAAAAAAGTATAAAAACACATTGCAGAAAGGCCCCTTTTTATTGCACATTTTGTATTATTATTACATTAAATTAGAGTATTATTATAGTATTAGTAATATCAATGCATGTACTGTACGGAACATGTGATTTTGAATTACTTTGCATAATGTTGGACATTTAAATCTTTTACAAAGCACCTTTTTATTATGATTTATTTCATTGTTGAGTGTGTAAAATCTGAATGCGTAAAATATATAGAAATAATGGCCATATTAATTTACTCTCTTCCTTCTTTCAAGTACCACTTGGATTCAATTTAACGGGAATTTATTTATCAATTACTGCCTACTTTTAATCTGGAAAACGGTCACAGGTAATTACCACAGATCACCACAAGGTGGCACAAGTTTAGAGCTGATGTTATGTGGCAGATCCAAAATAGTATTGTTGATCTCTCACTGAATAAAAGCTCCCAGAGTTTGACCCTCAGGGCCACCGTAGGTAATATAATACAGAAAAGAGTCATGAGACACTCTTTGGGATAAACAAACACAGGGGATATTAATTCATTTCAATATGAAGGTAAAAAGAAGAAACAATGCGATTTGGTGCTTCACGGCACGCTGAAAATATACTTTATAAAGGCCGGTGGTGAATTAATGTTGAATGTTATTACTTAGTCCAATTTTATTTAATGCTTCTTTTTCATTAGGAAGTGGTCCTTCTTTAATGCAGTGCTCTACATTCACGCTGTTCTGTGTTAAATAAAATGCAGCATGGATGTGTCGTTCCAGGAACTCCTCAGTGAATGTGGGTCAACACCTTTGTCTAAATCTGTGCATCGTCCCCACACCAGCAAACTATTTATGCCCAAAAATAATGAGAGCAGTGTGGGGCTGATTTAAAGACGACCATGGAGCGCTATCGTGTGTTGCTTACTGATGCACAGCTGAACAAACACATGCTTACCTCCCTCCATTAATATGAACCCCAAATCCCTGTTGACATCTGTGGGGCCCGTAATGCACCTGATGCCCCTCCGTTCGGACCTCTAGGGGGCGACAGTGAAGCGCTCCGGGGCTCCGGCGATGTGCTTCGGATGTATGGAACAGAATGTACAGAACGCAGCGTGCAAACGAATGATATTCATACACAAGCACAAGGGCCAAAGTGTCAACGTGACATGACAGCTACCCCCCGAGGGGCTATCCCAAAACTACCATGTAGGCCTGGTTCATTTAACGTTAGATGCCGTGCTTACAGAGAAGTCATTATGAATCAATACAAGAAAGTTCCTTTATATGATTCAGATTCATTCATTCTTTATGGGAGTGAAGTACAAAAGAAAAAGCGACGTTTATCTCCAGGAAACACAGGTGGTTTAAACGTCCACCTGAGCACATTTCAGAGGAGTTCAGGAGCGACTCACGTTCACAGGCTGCACGTCCTTCATCTCGGCTTCACCCCCCTCTGCATTAATGTGTACACGCGTATGCGTTTCTCTGTCTCGTCGTGTACACAAATGCACACTTTGCCATGCAAAGCTTTGTTTGCAGCATAAACAGACGCGTGCTTCCTCTTGTGTTACGGGGCCCCTCGCGACGCACAATAAAACCTCCATTCACCTCAAGTCTCTATGTTTAACAGGTTTAACAGAAAGGACTCTCACGGTCACGAGTCACGACTTTACCTACGCATGCAGCGTACACAATTAAGACCATGTCCAGGATGTGATATGCATCTTGTAAACAGGAAATATATATTTAGAATTAAGCCTTTATTCAGAATGGAGCGATGTTATTGTGCTTTTAGAAGCATTCTTTGGACATGCACACAGTACAATTGGAATATGCGTCTTTACAGAGCTTTCATGGCTCCCCGGTGTTTCCTCCCAATAAGCCCAGAGAGTTTCAGCAGATCAACTAGCCAATAGAGCGTTATGAAAGACTTCTTCTAGAATGTGTTCAGAGGAGTCGAAGAGGGAGGCCGTGTTTGCACGACGGACACACCCAAACTCAGACAAACACAACTCCTCACACACACATAGTGGAGACACCGGGGCCGAAATCGGATGATTAAATCAAACCTGTTGTGCTCATCGGAGGAATCGAGTTAGGTTTTTTTTTTTAAAATTGCTTCTGTTTCCAGCCTGATCTCCAAAACCTGTTCGTAAAAATGTATAGGAAAATCTTGAACGTACAAATTCGTAGTGATACATACTAAATAAATACGGACTGCAACTGATGACGTCACCCTGTTCAAAGTGAACGGGGACCCGCAGCCCGTAAACACACTTCGTGAAGTCTAACGTGTAAAATAAACGTGGTATGATCGCATTTTTAACGAGAAATCAATGTTAACTTGTAAGATTAGAATACTAACCCTCACCCCCTCAAAACATCCAACATGGCGGAGAGACGTTCACTCAAGAATCCGACATGGTCCGCCATGTTGTTCACTCCAGGGGCGTGGTTAACCACCGCCAGTTCCTATGTATTGTTACGAATTTGTATGTTCAAGATTTTCGTATACATTTTTACGAACAGGTTTTGGAGATCACGTTGCTGTTTCATGAGGATGTTGACTGCAGAATAATGGCAAAGCTAAGAACCGCGAGGCCTGAGGGCGGAGTCGGTGTGTGCCGGCCTGCTGCTGCTGCCACGTGTTGAAACTCACTCGTCTGCGTTTAAATTCCAGTTTAATGTCGCATCGGTATACCGGTGCGTCGGTGTTGCTGAGGTGGACTTAAAACTCCACCGCGGAGCCTCGTCGTCTTCCTGTTGCGATGCAAAAGCTCTCGGTTATGACTGTAAACGCCACGAAGTGGAGGACAGAGAGGCGATAGTCGTGCGGTTGCACTGGGTTCCTGCATCTGGCTGTGGCGGTTTTGGCGGCGTGGCGCAGCGGGTTTATTCTGGGGAGCAGAATCAGGGGTCACCGCGGCTTAAAAAGCAGACGGCGACATTTGCGTGTTTGTCAACCGAAGGACACTTTCGGCAGCTGTTTTCAAGGAAGTGCCCCCTTTAAATCCCAGCCCCCCCCCCTTTTCTAAATCTGGATGTGGTTGTGTGCCGTTTCAGGATTTAACCTGTTCAAACCGGCCACGAAGGCGTCACAGGCAGGTTCTCGCTGCGCTGCCGCGGGTCGTTCCCGAGGCCCACCGCGTGCCGCACAGGAATGTGAAGTCCAAGATGAAGAAGAAAGGAGACTCTCTCGGCGACGCGTGTGCTGCATCCGCGTACGGGGGAAGTCGACCCGTGGAACCCGTTCAGCAACGCCTGACGCAGCGGCCTCGTGGCGCCGCCGCAGTGTGTGTGTGTGGGGGTCAGCTGCCGTGGAGGACCAGTGGTCTGCGCTTGGTTGAACTTCACACACACAGAAACGGGGGAGTAGAGAGAAGTCAACACAGCAGTCTACATAAAGCAGCAAACAAAGGATTTGTTGTGAGAAAAGAAGCAGCTTCTCTTTCTTTTTTTGCATTTGTTGTGACCACACGCCGGCGTGCAAACACATCTATAAAAAACCCCAAAGATGCTGGTACCACAAACCGACACGCGGGCAAAACACAGCACGGGTGTGCGGCCTAAATCTTTGTTGCCCCCTCTCTCAGCGATGTGTGTGTAACTGCTGTGTGTGGACGTCCACATGGGGGGTGCGGCACCAGGACTTAAGTTTGCAACTCCACACTTGCATAAGATATAAGATCCTGTTTACAGGCGAGAAGTAGGTCACATGGCCTGAAGGCGTTCGCCAATGTCCTACAGTGGCACGTACCTGGAGTCACATAAAACTAAGTCGGCGCAGGAACGAAGTTCCAACCAGCTCATCCGGAGTATTGCATTCATGTGGAGAATGAGGAAAAAAGTCCATGTGTATTTATCTATAGCTGTTTATATATATATATATTTGATTTTTTTATTCCTATATTCCCTTTTCTTAATTTCTTTTGTGTATCCCTTGTTAATGAATAATGTGTTACTACCGGTTCAAAACCGGTTAAAACATTAAGGATTAAAGATGGAGACCCAAACACATGATATCACATATACCCTATGGTTGAATGCACTTATTGTACGTCGCTTTGGATAAAAGCGTCACCTAAATGACATGTAATGTAATGTAATATCAGATGATTTTAACTAATTTATTCATAAAATATTACATTTTGTCAATGAATTTTGATTCAATTTGATTTGTTGCGGTCGGGACGCAACAAACCTTTTCACTTGGGTTCCGTATGAAGAAGTATCTTATTTACCGGATTTTAATTCAACGAGGCCTCATTAAAAAACAGGTTTTAGAACAAACAGCAGCCTGCGTTGTCACGTGTTAAGCTTTTTATATTTGTCTTCCTGTGTTTTCTGTTTTCATATTCAGAAACAACTCAAGATGACTGGAGCTTTTAAACATATCCCCTTTCCCCTCAGTCATTGTGTGTGGAGGCAGAGCAGTGCGGAGGGGGGGGGGGATTTCTGACCAATAGGTGGCAGCAGCAGTGAGAGTTTCCACGCGTGTCACAGCTCTGAGGGTTCCACCTCGCGGCAGATCATCCCAGCAAAAGCCTTCTGCCTCTTTCACCGCGTCCTGCCGTCTCCGCTGGAAGGAGTTGATGGGGGAACTTCAGTAAAAAGGGAGAACGATGGCGTCACGCAGTACAGTCGCCCCAGGCTTTTGTTGTTGTTTACCACAATCTTCGTCATGTGATGCCGTTAAATGTCGCTGTACGTCAGCGCTGAAGTTTACGAGTGTAAACGTGTCATCGCCTGGCCTGTGCAGCCGAGCTGACGCCCGCTGCTCATCTCGAAAAACAAATAACGCCTGAAACGACCTGGAATGAGACCACGACCCCTCAAGCGTCAGTGTGGACGGGCTCCAGGACCCCCCCCCCCCACCCTGGACAGGATAAGGTGTGAACACGCATAGTTTGCCATTAAATAAAGGACAAATCAAGTTGTTCTTGTCCCTTTTATCCCCATCAGGCTAAAGGCGTCACGCGCTCATCCCTCCTTCACTCACGAAACACGCAGAGCTACTTGGCGCACGTTGGCCAGAGGTTGTTTTGTGCGATGAAGCGCTTTCATTTGATGATTTACAAAAACTGACACGGCTTGCTGGAACAAACCAGTGGACAGATCGTGGGAATAAACAGCGATGTGATGGTATAAGATCAAAAGATAATACCAACACAAATTATTAATCACAGATTATTGAAGAATAGTTTGTCGGGAATATCAAAGTAAAAGAGGATGAAACCTGTTTTCAGGTGATTCACTTTGTGTCGATACAGCAGATAATCGTATTGAGTACTCGAGACGACGTGTTTTAGCAACCCAATCAGAGTCATTGCTTCCACCCCAAAGGGGGCATTTATTGACGTTTTATATCATTGAACAAATACTCAAAATCTCTGTAGTGATATTGAAATGCGGTGTTCATATCAGCAGCATTAATCTATAAAACGGTTGACCTTTAGAAGTGCGGATGTGGACTCGTTTGAGGTTTCAGGACTGGATCCTGCAGCACTCTCTGGACCTGCAGGATCCAGTCGCTGTACAAACTCCCCACCGGCACCGACAGGAAGTCAGCGGCTCGCCGTCCTCTGATGCCGCGGCTCAGCCGACAATGGGCCCGTGAAACAACATTCCCAGGCTGAACCGGTTTGAAAAAAAAAAGGGACCCGTGAATGCCGGAAATACTCTGGACAGTTTTGACCAAAGCTGGAGGTTAATGTTTTAATGGAATCGCATGCGTCAACTACTTTGACTTTGCGTTAACCAAACAGAACCAGTTGAAACCGGCCCGATTCCACAGCAGACTTCAACGATAAGACCATGAGGTTATTTTGTTTTGGTCTAGCAGGCCTCTACTTCCCATTTTTGATGCAAAGCGGAACGAGGAAGTCCGACAGTTGAGACACTCAGCATTTGTTGTGAATACACAAGAGCCCGATTTCATCAGGTTTTTGTGACACTGCGGTTGCGTGACGGTGCCGACGTTTGAGGTTTACGGACTCGTGCCGTCCTCCTCCAGTCATTTCAGCTTGAGCTCTGTGTGGCGCCGACACGCGCAAATGATTTCCTCCACGTGGTTCCTGCTGAAGAAAGAACACATGGTAGTTGCACGTTGAATGCCATTTAAAAAAAGGCTTTCTATCATCCAGAATGCTGGAAGGAAGAAGCACAACATCTATGAGGTTTGTCTGATGTGTTCAGGTGAGCACTTTCCATTCATATCCATCAATTAGCGGCAGTCATAACGCAACGAAGAACCACATTAGAGCCCACGGGGGGGAAAACAGAGAGATAAGCCGCTTTTCACTAAATCCTAATGAAAAGGAAGCCGTAGGGAGAAAGAGGGGAGTGGGGTGAGATTAGGAGAGCGAACGCGGCGTCCTACATCGCTGACCCGGCCGCTGAAAGTGACGAGACACTGGAGTCGAGAACTAAGTCGTAAATATTTGAATGATCGAAACACAGATTTGTAGTTATTATAAAGCGCGTCTGTCCTTGGAGTGCTGCTGCAGAGGGGGGGGGGGGGGGGGGGGGGGGTGTTGTCGGGGGATCTGAGAGTGTTTTGTGCAGTCGTCCCGTCTGACGTGCAACGAAAATAGCAGCCCCCCCCCCCCCCCTGCACATAAAACGTTGATCTGCAGGAAACGAGGGGGAATGTGTCCAAACACTCGTGCGACAATCTGACATTGGTCAGCAGACGGAAGGTGAAGAAAATTCATATTACTTTTCAGCAGGCGGCTTATCTCAAGACAATTTATTAAAAAAATATATGCGTCAATGTCTTTATTAAACAAAAAGCAGCAATGAATTAAAAAATGCAAAGCGGTTTGGAAGAAACCTTTTAGGAGACTCATGCAAGGAGGTGCACAGTAGTTTGAGAAAAGCTAAAGTGCTGTTGTGCTTCAAATAGAGTTGGCAATTCTTGCTCAGTATAGAGCTTAAGGATACGTCCTCAAATCGATCTAAAGATGCTAAGCTACACGTTAGCCCAAAGCCATGAAGATTCATCAAGCACACAGACACACAAGTTGAACATATTTCCCATGATTGCTTGTCAGGGATGAGATGAAAATTAAAGCGATAGTTGTCAGAGAAACACCCTCACAGATCTTCTCTGCACCTGCAGCTCATGCAGAATTCCACCATCATTATTCTCTACGAGCAGCATCGAAAAGGCCTTCTAACATCTACCACCTCAGCTACAGAACCTCCACCATTACAGTCAGTGCAGCTTTTTGCCCCTTTGTCACAGTTGGTTAAATATCAAAAGTAAGAAAACAGGGGGAATGGCGCCCCCCGCCCCGAATAGCGATCCTCCACCTCCTCCCCGTCCCTTTGTCTCCGTGGCTCAGAACAAGGGCCGAATTTGGTGACGCATCAGCGGCTGGCCAATGGGCGCCCTTCGTTAAGGGTTGCGTCCTTAGCCTAACATCGCACACGACAAAGCAAGATTTTTGCCCGGTGATGTAGGGCGGTGTGGGGGGGGGGGAGGGGCTTGCTGGGTGGGCAGAGGGGCACGTGGCGCCCTACGGAGCTCTCAGCCTGTCACGAAGCATCACATCAGCCTGTGAACCGACATGCGCACTTTCTAGTCCCCCCTCCCCTGGCGGAGCAAAGGGAGGACGTGCAGAGGAGCCATCACCCATCTGCCCCCCACGCCCTGCAAGTGGACGATTAGAACAGGAATGTTTCATAAAGAAAATCGGAAAAAGCACGCAATGGAGAACATGAGGGTCTCCTTAGAACAGGAGTGTTCTCCTAACCCCCCCCCACATATGTACATTTGGGCTTGCGTGTGCACACTGGCACGCTACACGAGGCGTTCGTGCCAGACCGCATCCTGTTGCGTGCAGAAGACGGCAGAGATCAGCCGCCTCGAGCACCGACAGAGGAACCGCTCAGACAGGTTTTCATCATCGAGGTCACGAAAACCAGCCACTGCGCATCGCATTCAAGATGTTCACAGCTTTATTAAATCTTTCACAGAGTAATACATTCATCCATCATTTAAAAACAAGATTGTCGCTCGATTAAAAGTCTGCACAAACATGCAATGTTCAGTTAAAGTTAAAAGGTCTGCATGTAGAATGAGATCGCAGGAAGGTTTCTCAATCAGTGTGCTTTAAGAAAACAGGTAGTCATTCATCTCAACGGGACTTTGATTTACGGTAGTGTGAGATCAAAAAAAACAATCAAACATAAAAAGAGGAGTTGCTTAAAGTCCCTTTGAGGAGCCAATGTAGCACTCAAAGAAAATGTTTCTGCACTATTGCACATCTACTCAAATGAACCTGACACCACACAGAAACATTTTACAAGCATTTCTACACATTGACGGTTTTTGAATTAAGCTCTGGATCTGTACGGTTCTCTAATGAAGAACAAAAAAAAGAAAGTGTGTTGTGCTAACTTATTAGCCCCCTTCCGCCTTGTTGTGAGCCGGCCATCACTTCATTACAAGGTACATCTCAACTGCAGTCAGCCCATCGCTTAAAACAAAGGCATTACTGTGCTTTTATTTGACGCTCTTTGAAGAACTGGCAAAATGAGCGTCCCCTTTTTCGTCGCTCAGGACAGTATTGACGGCATCTTGCAGGCATGTACCTTTGTAAGAGACTAGTGGTCAGACCCAGGTGCCAGTCGGCTGGTTATGATCGCCCACCCAAACCAGTCCACACCCCCCCTTCTCCCGCCTCCTTCTACCCCCATCGGCTCGCCCGTCTTCTCCGCGAGCGGGCTGGGCGAGTGTCCTCAGGGCGCGGGCTGCGCGCGGACGTCCTCCGTCATCTGCTTGGCGCTGTAGTAGGACAAACTCAGGCCCATGATGGCCAGCATCATGGCCAGCTGGTTGACGGCGCGGTCCCGCGGCTGCGTCTGCACCTCCCCGGCGACTTGCCTCTGCAGAGACGGCAAGACAAGAAAAATAAATAAAAGGGACGGGGGGGGGGGTCAAAGGTCGGCCAACGCAGGCCAATCGCTGGTCAGACCTGCAGACGGGAACGAGAATAACCCAAAAAGCTTTCATCCCGGGAGACCAAACGTCTGCAGCTTTAGCTCCGGAGCCCAAACGCCGGCGGCAGGAGACGTTATTAAAAACGCTTTATTAAAAAAAGGGGGGGGGGGGGACTTGAGCCAAAGGGGGAACACGATGTTCTGCGAAGAACTAAAAGCTCGGCTCCTGCTGCCCCAGATGACCGTCATCACATTAACCGACCACATTGGCTCAAAAAGTTGGGTCGGAAATCTTTAGATGTTGGACAACTTTGCAGACGTTTATCAAACCCGTAATCTTTATTTTATTAAAGCGATGCGTTTGCTCAGTTAGACGTTATGTGGCCTTTATTGTTGATGGGGGGGTGGGGGAGGGACACACACAGAACCAGTCTGAACCACGTTAAAATCTTCGTCTACTCGGTTGTAGATGATAAATACGTTCTGTCCCGCCGTGGTGTCAAATGGCGTGAAAAGAGGAAGTCACTTCTCTCCGCTGCGTCGGGCTTTTGAGTCGACGTAAAGTCGTACGAGGCGACAGCCTTTGTGTCCAAATTAGTGTAAAATAAGAGAACAAAGACCTTACAGTGGACGAGACACATGGAGCGCCGCTACGGATGAGTGGATGATGATGATGATGATGATGATGACGGCTCTATGGAGGATGATTAGTGCCACCCCGGATTACGCCGGTGGTGAACGCGGCTTGTGGGTCACAGAACGGCACCGAGCCCCGTTTTCACGTCACATTAGAGCGCAAAGTAGACCCCTACACCTACCTGGAGGAGACGGAAGTATCCGGGTGTCAGTCGGCCCAGTCGGATGATCATTGTCGGTTGGTGTGAGGCGGGGGCCAAACGGAGGGAAGAGCTTTCAAGACCTGCCGAGAAAACAGACGTCGCTTAGCGACTTCGCGGAATTTAAGATAGAAAAAACTAAAAAAAGAGTCATTATTTCGAGTATTTAAAAAAATAAAAATAATAAGCCATCTGATCGCTAAAGGGGGGGATGGGGGGGGGCATCTCTCGTCTGCAGGGAACCACACGACCATGTGCTGATCGATACGAGTAGAGAAACCGAACAAGTGCTCACAAGACCATTTCCTCCCAAAACGCCCCCGTTATCAAACAGTCATGTTTGCCCCAAAGCAACACAGCCTCTATTCATGCTGCGCCACGAAGCCACGCAGCCACGCAGCGGAAGGGACAATCGTCCTGGTTCAAACGGGGACGAGTCTAAACTGCTGAGGAAAAATGCGCCTCCAACGATTTGCTGGACACCAGACGGGGCCACCGAAGGACACACCGAGGGACGGACGTCCATCCAGATGTGGTGCGAAAGAACAAAAAGTACCCAGCAGGGAGAAGACAATTAATAGTGGGGCGGGTTGGGGGGGGGGCAGTCCTGTCTGAAGCAGATTGAGGACTTTGTAGAGACAAACCCAAACAGATGCTCGCTTCATAAAGAGGGGAAGTCACATTCAGAGGAAACGGACAACGTTTGTGTTCGAGGTTTCAGGAAGGAAGAAGATCAGGTAAAAAACATGTGAACCATTAAAGGAAAAAGAAAAAAAAAAAAAAAAGAAAGAAGGCCAAGCTGGTCTAACGAGAGACACGAGATCCAAGCTTTCAAAGTTACTCCTGGTGGGAAAAGTCGCCCCTTATTTCGTGAATTCGGGATTCCTCACCTTCCAGGGGCCGATGTGATCGGCGGAAGAAAGGTAACGGGGGGGGGGAGGAGAGGATGGCGGGCCGAAAAAAACCGACCAGCGGGACCTTCCACTTCCCGACCACGCTGGAAACCCCGACAGATGCCACAGAGAGACGAAGCGTGAGCTACCGAGAGCTTCTGCGCCTTTTATACGGCTCCGCTCTCACCCAACCCGACCCGTGGGCTCGCCTTCAGCACACGCCCACTTTCAAAAACACATACGCTGTCCACATGCATTACTCTCAGTGGGTTGCTCTCCCCAAAACACACCCTCCTCCTCCTCCTTCCAAAAACAGGAAAAAGCCCTTTGTGAAGATTCATATACGATTGCCCCATCGAGTCCATGCAAAAACAGGAATCATGCCCACAGAGCGATGCTGCGTGACAGCGGCTTCCACCAAGCAGGCTGCATGGCAGAGAGCAGCGTTACGTAACCGGCCTGATGCGTCCATTTAATCCCAGCTGGAGCAGGAATCAGATGCCTCAGACCTCAGGACCGTCCGCCGGGAACCTGAGCAGCATCCACATTACAGCGACGGAGGAGAACGAGCTTCTTTTATCGGTTTTTGTTGTGCCGTTTGTTTCCTACAGTGGCCATCAGTGTTATATAAAGTAATTCACCATGAATCTTTGATACAAGCTTCAACAGCACGCAGGTTTGAGTTCACAGTTGGGACTAAGCTGCACGCGCTTTGTTTTTATAGCGACTGACAATCGTGTCGCACAAAAGAGTCACCGGGACATCTGGGCTTTGTCAAGTTCGGTCACACCTTCCACTAAAATCATTGGCATCTGATCGACGAGAAAGGGATCGCAGCAGACGGCGCTGAGAGGTTTGAAGCACGCGAGCACGTTGGGCCAGATACACCCAACTCCTGGGAGGTGCATTGTGGGAGATTGAGGCGCCAGTGTTTTCGGAAGCCCCACTCGAGACTCAAAGCAGAGATAACTTGGACCGCGTTGTCCTTCCCAGCAGCTGTTTCTTGCGTTTAGCGGTGGCTCACCGAGGCTGCAGGAGTGCTGCTGAGTCATTCGGGAACTATTCAGGTGTATCTGCGTACCTGCTATAAAAGCAAGAGGGCGTTTCCCCCACATGTGGAAAACTTTTAACCACGTTTCAACACATCAGCTGCAGACACAGAGATGGCAATTCTTCTTTCATAGACAAAACTGAAGCATGTAAAAATAAGATGCAAATGTATTTCCACCGGCTCTCTCCGAATTGAGATTAATAGAAAACCTGCAAGGATGTCAATCAGCCTGCAACAGGCCCATAAACATTTACTGGGTACACGGTGTACCGAACCCCAAACAGCCAATTAAAAATCAGTATTGCTTTCCTCCTCCTCCTGGTTCCGCCTTCCTGTCGTCACCTTACGGTCTCTCTCCTGCCGACCCTCCTGCAGCAGGGGATCTCCTGCCAGTCAGCGAGGAGGGAAGACCGATGCAGCAGCTGCTGCAACAACAACAACAACAAAAATATCCTGCTGTGTTTAGGATTACATCATCCTCCTCATCGTCGTCATCGGACTGTCTGATGAGGCAATCATGTGGGCATCCGCCACATCAATGACACGCAGCGACGGTTTCTCCACACTACGTGCGCACTCGCGTGGGATGACAAACTACTTTTTTCAGTTTAAGTATTCAAAATCCATCATCCTTTAAAATATATTTTAAGACTACGATGAGGGCAGCAGTGCACGGCTGGGTTCACATCCTGGTGGTTTGCGTTTACTTTGAACAGAAAAGTGCAGGTGCCAAAGTAAGACTACGTTCTCAAATAAAAGGGAGGAATGTTTGACCCCGTTGCACCGTGGTATAGTTTGATCACTGGCATAACACACAACTCTCTTCTTCTGTGTTGCAGCAAGGAGCCGACCATGAGCTTTGTTGTGCTAACGTTAGCACGCGCTGACAACAGCATAGGACTGAAAAGTTTGGGCTTTTGAACTTTGGCTCCGCAGCAATCTACACATCATGTATTGTGCACACACAAAACTGTCAAGGTCCAGAACAAATACACAAGGGGTTACAGCGCTGGTCACTACAAAACAGAATATGGCCCAAAAAACTACTAATTAAGGCAACTGATTATTATGGAAATCTGACCCTTAATCGTTTAGTCTAAAGAAGATGTCTGTCGAGAGTGAGTAGAGACGCTAATTTTACTTTGGTCGACCAACCATTTACGCTCAACTAAAATCAATTAAAAAGAAAACTTTTAGGACAAACTTACTCAATGTGTCCACGACAATGAAACCCTAGACGTGGTCTCCATCTTGGGCCCCCCGCTGTGAAGATGCCAACATGGCTGACACAAAGTAAAAGTCGAACTTGGGAGAGTAGCACATGAGAATGAAGCTTTGCCACTTTGAATGAGCCCGACCTGAAGCTTGTGAATTAGCATGAAGCTAAACTGAGGACCAGTTGGAAGCGCGCCCCCCCCACTGAGCTGACACAGAAGTGTAAATCCAGTCATCCAAAAGGAAAGTGACCCTACAGACTAACCTGCCAAATACAAGTAAACACACGGGGTGTGCATGCTGGCAAGGATTCATTAAAAGTTAAAAATAAATACACTGTAAAAAATGTTTTACCAGTCACTCCCAATTAATTAAATTATGAAATTGATGGATAGAAAATATTTAACATGCAGCTCTTCGTTGTAGGCGTTTTTTGCCCTTTTGAGAAAAACTGCAAAAAAAAGTTTTTTTTAAACAGTTTATTTCATAAAACAATGCAAAAAAAAAAGTTTTAAATGAGGGAACAACGCCAACGAACGAGCCAAATCAACACTTCGGCGGCCCACAGCGCCACGCAGAGACAATGTGTCACTTTCCTTCTTCTCCTCTACGTTTTCTCTCCATATTCTACACAAGTTCTCGGTGGACAACAGCGCGCTTACCTGCAGCACCGCCGGGGCTCGGGACGCTTCCGTGGGGGGGGGGGGGGGGTTCGCCAGACTCTCTCTTGTGTGAAAGTACAACATGTACGCGATGTACAGAAGGTTATGGGAGACCGGGACATGTTCTACGTGGAGGGGGGGGTTGGGAGGGGGTGTGGCGCCCAGGTCCCTTCGGCACACACCACGCATGCTGGGGTACATGTGAATCACATGGACCCCCGCGGCTGCGAGGAATGGACTCGTCCACGTTTACTGCTCTCATGTCGGGGACTCGCTGGCGCGTTTGGTCCACGGGAGGTGTTCGTTTTTCACATCGTGAAATGCCGACACGTAGACTCCGCGCACGTGTCATGGGTGCACTGTGGAAAAATGGCTGAAAAGCATTTTTTAGTTTATTAATTACATTTGTATAATGTATGTATGCATAAGAGATTACGGTTGGTTGGTCGATGAAAGAAAATTAATTTATCGTTAAAGTAATATAATATTAAGGTCAGTTTTGTAGATTTTGTGGGGCTTTGATACCATCACATTTTGGCACAGCCAATTTCTATTTATCTCAATTTCCAGCCAATAAGTCCTGAAAGTGATCACAACCTTCAAAATAAACCCCAAAAGTTCTGTCATTTTAAAAACAGAGTTTGATAAAAGTAGATCCAACCACATCCTGACAAATCTACTAAAAAAAAGCTAGCTGATGACTACGAGGACACAAAACAAGAAGAAAAAATGACCCGCATGAGGAACATGACGGCCAGCTGAGTTAAAGAGTGTTAACTTGTTTTATCCCAAAGTCTTCCTCAGCAGATGGATGAGATGCTCAAAATGTTCTTTTCTTTTTGAAGGACCTCTTTATTTAAGATGTTTAATAAATGGATAAATCTACATCTGCGTTTCCATGACAACGTTCCAGCTGCATGAGACGGGGAAGCTGGTGTGGTTTGATCAAAATGTTCATGACAGTCTGTGGAAGTTTTGATGGTATCGGGGAGCTTTCTCTTTGAAACAGTTTCCAAAGTTGGAAAATGATATGGAAGAAAAAGCACGGAATACGACTATTACAAATGACTATTATTAAACCCATGTTTGATAAGACCTTGACTGGTAGGAGCTTTAGAGACATCTTCACAAAGCAATCTCACTTTATCCGTATCTGGATGTGTAAAACCACAGAAGCAGCAGTGGATGACACGAACAGTCCGGTTAAAGGGTTTACAAACAAATGGAGTCGTGTTTGACCCACTTTGGCAGCGCGGGGAAGTTGAGAGAGAGAAGAGGAGCATCTCCTGCGGCTGCAGCGATGCTGCGCTCTACTGGAGCTCCGGAGGAAACACAGCGACACTCATCACTCAATCATTAACAGCGGGATCTGATCAGCCATCTGTTACGCACATTACAAGATTAAATGAATAGCTACCAAACAGCACAGAAAGCAACAATAATTTTAGTCATTCTAGACACTAAATTCAGTTGGAAGCTTAATAACCAACTGTTCATGTTTATACTTGTGCCAAAGGACATTTATCGGGAATGCATGAAGCAGGTTATTTTTTATCTGGTTGTGGGATTTATAATATCCGATGAATTCAGGTTAATTCAAGTTGACTAGTTTCCTAAATCAAGTAGACATTTTGATAAAAGAAACGTAGAAAGGTAAAAACATAAATGAGCATTTTATAAAATTTAGTTAGCCTCATCAATGTTTACCAGACTATTGAAACTAATTCCTGGAGGGGGGTTGGCACGGTAAATGTACACCAATACGAACCAAACTACTTCCTTTTCTTCTCAATATTTTCATCCTGCAACAACTTAATGCCCTGAAAACATTTGACAATTTTTATTCAAGAACATTTAGATCAACAATTAAAGTCAGAAAAGCATCAGTCGAAGAGAAACATAACTTAACAGGACTTTTCATCAGATGACCAGGTTCACGTCATACATGTTTTGGGGATGTTTCAATCGTTTTGACCTAATAACAGTTTTTTTTGTGGTATTTTTTACTGACTGGAACTTTTTTCAACATACAGTGTTTCAAAACATTTGGTAAGCAATTTCTACAAGGATAGAAGGCAAAATTCCTATTTTACCTCAAATTTTAACAATAGGCTTTAGCTGCCTTATAATGTTTAAAATTGGATTTAAATTCCAACTTGGTGGAAAATATCCATTACTCAGCAGTTTAAAAAAAACAACAAAAACAAACAGGATTAGACAAACTAAAAATGCCACGTCTACCAGATATGGACGGTAATCATTTTTATGGGTATAAAATGGATATGAATGTGACAACAAACTTTTGTTACAAGTGCAAGCCCAAAACAAACATATAAATGACATTTGTAATATAAAACTTGGTAAAAAATACTAATTTAAAACTGTACAATCACCAAGTACACAGACTGAGCACATCAACTGTTATTCATTTGGCTTCCGCGGCATCGGCCTTTGGCTCCTGGGGACAGAAGATATGAAATATATATTTCTTAAGCAATAATATACGCTCACTATGGGCTTCATCAGGCTATAATCTATTCCAGATCATCCAGTTTAATAAATGCCATGCTGGCATTAAGTTAGATACGGACATATAAATAAAAATGGGGGAACCAATGTACGGATAGACAATTTGTCCAAAAATGTGATTTCTAAAACAGTTTGAAAAGTATTAAATGTATTCTAATCTATTGGTGTATTTTAACTTTCCAGGGTGCAGACACCCAGTTAATTCACGCTTCATCAGTTTATTATTCAAGCGCTTGCGCACCATCACCCTCATAAACATATGAAAGGATATTATGGGGCTATGGCGAACTACTGGAGATATTTATACTTTTCTAGCCTCAAGTTTATACTTATAACAGATGTATGTCATTTGCGCACATTTTTTTTGAAGGCACAAATAGACTATTTTTCCCACTAGAAAAATAGATGTGAAAGATCTTTATCATTTAAAATAAAACCAACCTCAGCCTTGGCGCCGCCATTTTCAGTTAGTTTGGTCTTCTTTGCTTTCAGCGCCTTCTACAAATGACAAGAAAAGAGATTTACACATGTGACGTACGGCAGAGATGTTCGGTTGATATCAGCGAGGCATCAGTGTCATACTTTTACAGCAGGCTTTTTCTTGGCTTCCACTGCTTTAGGAGGGTTCTGCAAAAGGAAAATAAACATTTAATTTAGTTAAAAACGGTGGATTGAAAGAGCATCTCCTTTGAAACAAACTTCTAGGTGAATAACAAGAATAGTTTTAACAAGTTATTATGAGGTTACGAGGCGCTTACCACAGCAGCCAGCCGCTTGGAAAATCGTCTCTCCTATTGACATAGAGGGAGAAGAACTTTAGCACTGATCACAGAAGGAACTCATTTGCCGGAAAACCAAACTAAAGAGACTATTCACAGCCGCGCAGTGGCCACCAAATGTCTTGTATTAGCAAATAACTAAATAAGATTACAATCAAGGAAACGTTTAACCACAGACCTCAAGTTATCAATGTGAAGATTATTATTATTATAAAACTCTGGCAATATGAGTGCATCAATATTTTATGAATAACATCCCCAAGTTATTTATGGCATTCATACAAACCTCAGGGAGGACAGCTGCCTGCAAGACAAAGAATATATATATATTTTAAAAAAACAATGTTTAAACTCCACCATTATCATCCATGACAACTCAGATGCGATCTAATACTAAAGTCCCAGATTTCTGCCGATATAATCCGAAGAGAATTTTAGGTGACAAAAGAAGTTCCCGCGCATATTTGAATTCAAATCGGGGCGTCCTGTCAGAGGAGCCGCGCGTTGGCGCCCTGACAGCTTCCTTTGTTTTGTCTGCCCGCGCGCAGACAGACAGCTGTTGGGAAACCGATCAGATCGATCGCTTACTGCTCTGCTAACATACGTGCACCAAAACAAGAGCACGGCTAGCAAACAGATTTTAAGGTTGCATTAAAAAAAAAGAAAGAAAAAAAGTACACATTTCAGATAGATGCCATTAAAAAAAAAAAAAAGTCAAATATTTAATTTAAATGAACCCCAGGTGCCGTTACAAGGTGGGAAACTGAGATTCGCAGAATACATTTATGAATAATTGAGAAATTATTTTCCCACATCGATGCATTCGGTGGTTGATGGGCACGTGTGACTAGTCGCGTTGATGCGAGCCGACCTCGGTGCACGGAGGGCCCGCGCGGACCGAGTTCAACCCGGCGGACGAAAACACGCAAGAAAAACGTTTAAAACAACCAAAAAGTCCGACTCACCTTACCCCCTCCTGCCCCACCCCCCCCAACTGAAAACAGCGAAAAATAAATAAATAAAAATGTGACCTCCCCTCCCCCAACTCCTTCCTGATTGTGCGAGGTGCGTTAATAACTTATCGCGGCGGCTGCACAACAAACCGCCGTTTTACGCGGCAGCGACGCCTCCATGTTTGACCCGGCGGCCGAACGTCGTAACGTTAAAACATTTTTTACGCGGTTGTCGGGGACCGCCATGGCTGCTCGGTGGGGACGATGACGTTCCTCTGATGCAGATAAATCTAACGCTGCCTAACGGCCGACTGGAAGTTAAACACGAACCCGGTGCACCAGAGTTTTAGATTAAAATAATAATGAAAAAAAAACATCTTACCTTCGCTTTGCCCATGTTGTTGGTAGGAAGTGAACAGAGAGCTCACGAGATAGAATAGGTTTGTTTTTGTTTTGTTTTTACCCGGAGCGATAACACACAACAGCCGACGAGTAGCTGCGTAAAATGGCGAATGTATAATGCAAACCAATGTTTTTTGTAGTTTATACGCTGAAATATAAGAACGAAACCGGTTCGAACCGGTTTTGTGTTTCGCTGTCTGTCATTGGCCGCGAGTGCATCACGTGCGCTCAGGCACCGCCCATCTGCTTAAAGAGGCAGGAAGCGGCCCGGGAAGTACCGGCCGGGGACGCGAGGGGGCGCTGCGCGGAAGGTTTCTCACCGAGGGAGTGAAACGCACTGCAGAGACAACAAGTAGGGCCGGTTCACCCTGTACTTTAGCTCCACCTCACAACGTGATGCGAGGCACGGCTGTTGTATGAGCTCCACCTCGGCAACTGTCAAATGCATCATAACTGTTTATCCATTGGTAATAATATCCAAATAATTCCACTATCAACGAAACCACCCACATTGGAAAAACAGAGCCATATAGTACTTTAACTGATGATACTTAAAGTACATTTAGTTCCTATTGAATCTTTTGCTTTTACTTGAAGTACAGTACTTTTATACTGTGGAATTGATACTTTTAAAGCGTTAAAACCTTCTTACCAGATTCCATTGAATTGACATCAGTAGTATTGAGTGTCAATAAAAACATACATTAGTTTTGATATTAAGAATTCCTATGGAGGGGCATTCGAATTCCCAATTCTATGAAGTGTATAACCAAGAGTGTATTGACACAGTTTACGCAGCTTTACATGTACTAAAATAGAACTAATATTTTCTTTCAACCAAATATATAATACCGATTTAAATCAGGCAATGAATTTCTCAATTAAAACTACATAGGCCGTGTCAATTAGTGTGGGGGGGGGGTCCAATACAGACTCCCACAGCTACGAGTAGAAATGAAAGATTTAGTCGAAGTGGCTGAGTGGACTAAACACTGAGCAGGTGAAAAAAGAACTCAGTAATTTAGTGGACCAAATACATTAGGGATTAGTCAGTCAACCCCTGACATATCGGCATAACAAAAGGTCAGATGGAATCGACGACTGGATGAACTCTTCAGCGACTTGACACGCGGTGTTTAAGTACAAAGGTCTGAATCGCACATCCTTTAATCACAGCGGACAAACGACAATCGCTTTATTCTGTTAAAGCAAGCTGGTCAAAACCTAGTCACGTCATCAGCATCACACTCAACGGACCACAAGCAAGCTGCGCTGACTCGTATTAATCTGGACGGATCGCCGGCTCTCATTCACATAGTTCGATCTTACAATCAACGGCATGCAGCGGACAGACGATTTACACAACCACTTCACCACATCTTGACCAGACATTTGCACACATCTTTGTTTCCTCTAAATCTTCAATCATAAATATTGATTAGTTTACAGCCCCACAGGGGTAAAAACAGCTATTTATCGTTTTGTTGTTGAAAATCAGTAACACAATGAAACAGTTTATTGTTTCCCTCCTCCGTTCTCCACAGAAGGCCTCTTCGGAGCGCGAGGCGCGTTCCTCTCCTCCTCCCTAGGCCGAGACGCCGGCGCTCCACAAGTCATTGAAGAAAGAGTCTCTCTTGCGCTTCAGCGCCTCTAGGAAGTCCTGAATCCGCTCCTCCCGGCAGGCGGTGTACTGCAGCAGCGCCTCCCGTCTCCGCTGGCCGCTGGCGGGCTTCCCGTTGCCGTGGCTCTGCAGGTGCTCCGCCGCGCAGGCGCGATCCGCCTCCAGCTGCTGGAGGGCCTGATGCTCTCGATGGAGCTCTCTGGCTTTCTGAAATGAACAGGAAGCCTTTGACTGACTGACTGCGCTCGACAGAAGGTGCGTGTGATGTGAAGGAGGGTCGGCGGCACAAAACGGTTTACAGAAAATATTTACCCGATCAAACGTGAAAAATATTTAACGTTATTAAAACTTTTGCCGTTTTTCCAACATCACAAAAAAATTGTTCATTACACTCCTTCAAATGAATGTTGTGCCATAATAATTAGAGAGAACGTTCTTTTGTTGGACGATATAAAACACATTTCCATTTAATAAAGCTGCCAACGTTTAGCGTTTCTTGAAATCGATTTCTCTCGATTCTCTCTAGAACGATTCGGTCTTGATTCAGAAAAGTTGATCTTTATTAAAAATTAAAAGTCCGTCTCGCGCGAGATATTTGCTCGCTCGCGGAGCGTGAACTTCCTCGCTCGCGAGGTTAGTCTCTGCTCGCGCTCGAAGGTGTTTTGCCATTTTGTTTTTTTCACAGTAAGGGGGCGGAGCCAGTCACCATGGTCTCTGCACCTGATTGGTTACAAACCGCGTCTTTGGATTGGCTGGAGTGATGCATTCACACAACTGTAGAAGCCCATTTCTGCACTAAAGAAATTATGAGATAAAACGTTGTCAAAAAACAAACGCCCCCCTTCGGTAATCGTAGTGGACCGTAGATGACAACCAGCTACAACCATCATTTACCATCATTACCGGCACATTGAGAGCAATGCGTCCAGCTCGCAGACCGGTCCGTCAGTCTGAATATTTTGCCAACTTTACCGAACTATGAAGGAGCCTGCGCAGATCTTACTTCATTATTTCGATTTTCCAAAAAGTCGATCCGTATTGAAAGTTGGCAAGATATTCACAGATTGGGATTTTTTTCCGGTATTTTACAAATACGAACCGGTCTGAGACTAAGAGCAGCTTTTTCTTCATTTAAAAAGAAAAATGAATCTGTTTAATTTTTTTTTTTACATAAGCTACTTCCATACTGTGTTGACATGTGAGCTGCGTTGGTTTTGCATTGTTGATAGAAAATCATATTTGTGACAGAGATTTTTTTTTCTCATAAAAAATTAGAGAAGGTAATTCATCTGTTGATTTTCTTTAATTATCAAATAAAGTAGAAAGTGATTAGCAACCTCTGAGTAGCAAACTCAGATTTGAGAAAATTTAGAAAATCGAGATGCATCGATAATCGTTTTATCAGTTTAGAATCGATAATCGGTTTAGAATCAAATCGTTGGTCTCTGAATCGGAATCGAATCGTGAGGCGCCAAGAGATTCCCACCCCTATTACCTACAATATATATTCATAGCAAATATGTCGTGAAATACAACATAAATAAATACCCCTGCGTAGGCCTTACCTGGATGGAAGCGTGATTTAATTGGTATTGCAGAATGGCCTCACAAAGGTTCCAGAAGGAATACTCGGGCCACAGCACGGACTGAAACACGAGGCAGGAGTGGGAAGTCTGCAGAGTGGGAGACGGAAGAGAATCAATGGCAGCCGCGGAAGAGTTTGGCACGATGGTCAGATCATACTTGCTCATCACAGATTGGAGCCCTGATCTGGTAGATTATAAAAGATATAAACTTCTTACATCCAGACAAAATGTCAAGTATGAAAAACTTGTCTTTGCCACAGAGTTTATAGTCTGCGATGGCGCAAACTCTGATGGACGATGCGTCCGTCACCTGCGGTCCCAGCTCATCCTCACCTGCCACAGGAGGAAGTCGCTGAGTCGCACCTCTCCTGAGGTGCGGATGAGCAGATCCGGATTGGGAGATTTGTTGCTGTACAAACACGCGCTCAGCAGCGGCTCTGAAACGTCGCTGAGCGCGACGGAAAGGGCAGAAACACACCTCGTTTGAGCGAAAAGTCTCTTTGCGCGTTCTAGGTTGCACCGCGGGGGTCGGCGGAATAAGACCGGCGTGGCGTTGTCACCTTGCTTTGATCAAGCCCTGCTCCACTCCCCAGGCCATTTCCCGGACCGCGTTGGTGATCTCGTACCTCGACGTGTAGGCAAAGCACACGTTCAGGAAACACCTGCGAAACCAGCATTTGCACATCTGTGGTCGATTGTAAAACACAACGCAAAATCGGTTTGTGTCGCGTGGCCGGTGTGGTAGGAGGGTCACGGGAGCAGAGGAGCAAACCGGTTAAACACCCACTTATTGTGCGCCTTGGTGCCGAGCACAGCTTTGGCGATGAGCTGCTGGAGGTCGAGCGGGAGCATGTTCAGGTCGCCCAGCACCCGGATACACACGCCGTGCTTCTCCAGGTTCTCCCTACACGGACAAAACGGGGTTCACAGTTTACAGCGAGAGGCAGAATCTATATCCGACATGGAAATAACACTTCCATTTATAAGTCAGCCTTCGTTCCCCATGAACATTCTGCCATCAGCACATCTTAGTCATTGGCTAAAGCGGGCGAGTGCGTCTTTGTGTCGTTGCTGACAGTGTATCCAGCTGCAGCAAAACATGCAGCTGTGAACTATCAAGATATAAACGCATTAAACAGGCAGCGTTTAATAAGTGAACACAAAGTTCAGACTGTTTTTCACAACACTGATGTTGAAACCTTGACATTTCATTCTATTGAAGACACTGAACTTTACTTGAAATACTCGCTGCTCTGGTTCCTCTTGAAGGAAACTGTCAATCATCACGCGTGTAAAACAGGACTTGTCCCAAAAGCGACAGCGAAATGACGAATGTTAAAACCCACCGTTCCTCCAACAGCTTTTCAAACTTCTGCCTGGCCAGCTCCATCAGCCCGTCCACCTCGTCTTTGGAGCGCTTGAAGTTCTCGATGCTGAAGGCGTACACCGTGACCTCCCGGATGTTCAGGTGCTTACACCACCGCAGCGTCTGCCGTGGAAGGAACCAAAGGGTCACGCGCGAACGGGCCGCCGCTTTTTCTGCGTTTGCGAAGGCGATCTCGAACCGCAACCTCACCTCCGCCAGCTTGTTGAAGCCCTGCATGTGTCCTTCCTGGCGCTCCATGTTTTTCTTTTGTGCGAAGCGCCGGTTGCCGTCCATGATGAAGGCCACGTGTTTAGGCATGGGTCCCGCCTGGGAGAAATAACGCACATCAGCAACCATTTGGCTATTAAGAGACATTAAGCAACGTGAAGAACACATCTGTCAGAGCTTAGAAGATTTGCCAGAAGAGAACAAAAAGGCAACAATTGTGCTAACAGGCCAGATATTTTCTAGCTGAAGCTTCAGCGACGTGAAGGTTTCATGGCCTTTAAGTGTAATTTATGCCTTGAGAAACATGTGAAAAACCTCAATCTGTGAGATGCAGTGGGACAAACAGGAGATTCCAGGACCTTTTCTGGTGTATTATGGACCAAGTGATTAATTGACTGGTGGAGAATTGGTTCAGCAGATGAACTGATCATGCAAGTATGTAATGGTTACTATGGTTTCATATTTTGGAAAACTAAGAAAAAAAAATGGTAGTCTTTGAAAAATCCTCAAAGAGTTTTCTGATCATCTGTGTGTAAAATAATAATGCAGATACAAATCCAGGAATGACACATCCTGATATCAATGCAACATGTTCATGTCGTTTCCGATCGAGTATTTAACACACAGCTACTGTGGTTTGTTCACATTTGGAGAATAATGGAACTATTTAGCATGTTTGTACTGAAACATCGGTTAATGTTGCTTAATGAGTTACAAACACAGCTTGGTAGCTAATGAGAAAGCGGGAGGTGCACACAAAGAAGTACTTATGAATACACGAAACGAGGCTCACCTTCAGGATATTGGCTGAAATCCTTTCGAGCAGGTTTAATTCTCCCTCCCTGATCCACGACATGTTCGGCCTTTCAAAAGTCTAAAAAAAAATAGGCGATTGGAATTATTTCAAAAAAGGGCTCTGAAATGTAAAAAAACAAAAACAAAACAACAACCGACCCTTCAGCGGTCAGAATCAGGGGACTAAGTCGCCGCTCAAACGCCCCGGAGAACGTCTTCCTAACGGGTCACCGGTGAAAGGTTAGCGCTGCATGCAGCCGGTGATTGATTCATCGGCTGAGAGAAGTTCTCCGCCGCGAAGCTCAAACCGAGTCAGACGCCTTCCGGTGAAGACAAACGCTTCACGGGAGCCGCGTCTTTCGTTTCAACCATGGAACCAGACACGTCGTCTGCTCGCCGAATCACGGTACATATTTCACATTTCAGGGAGCTTCCAACTCACAGCTTTACTCCAATGCGGAAGAGGTCGTCATCGTTAAAGTGACGTAATGACGCAGCGACGACTTCCGGTGGGACGTAAGGAGATTTTCAAAATATGAGGAATGAATTTAACGTCCAAAACAAAAGGTTTTTATAAAAAATAATACGGTATTTAAATAATCAACTGACGTTATACATTTTCTTTTACTGTAACCCTTCTCGCTAAAACTACCTACAGATATTTTGCAATAGACTGCCAACATCTTCATTTTACTCAGCACATATAATAAGTCATATCTCCAAATGTCGCGGTGACTTTGAAACGTCAATATTAATCTCTGATAACAGTCGGTGTACTTTTGAACAGTGGTGTAATGTTTATGTTAAACGGTAGATATTAATTTGTATCACGTCCAACTACTATAAAAGAGGTCTAAAGACATTTTAAATGCCTGTTAATAGATAGAAAGTGAATTTATTAATCCCACCAAGGGACACTTCCTGTAAAACATAAAGATGTACAACATATAAGAGAAAACTGAATTGTATTCAATTGAATGAACCAACCAACAGTGCAAAGATCAACCGACAAAGGAACCACAGCATAAAGGTAGAGTTTATTGCACTTGCATTTATCTTATCGCAGTTGGCAGGAAGTATCTCCTCTTTCCTGCGATGGCCTTTTGAAAAAAGGGCCTCGCCGTCCCTGCAGCAGGTGGTGGAGACGGTGCTCCTGGTGGTTATCCAGGTGGATAATCATCTCTTCAGCGACCTCCTCTCCACTGCTAGATGGTCCAGTTTCACGCCTTTCTCCACTCTGGTCTCGGCCACTTTCACAAGCAGGGGATTTCTACAGGCTTTGCTCCACTAAAGTCATCCACTACAGGCCCGTACTCCTCCTCCAATCCCCCCCTTACACACCCGACCAACGCAGAGGCATCAGAACAGCAGATGGCACGAGTCAGCGGTGTCCCCCGGGGGTCAGTGGTGTGCAGGGTGAACATGGCGGGGGGGTGGAACAGTTCCCCGTGGAGCTCCAGCGCCACTGACCACCGCATCGGGCAGCACGCCGCCCGTCAGTGACACGGGAGACGTTGGACGTGGTTCTATCCTCCACTCACAGCTGCTCCTTCAGTGGGCCCAGTCGCATGGGTTTGAAAAATATAATTAATGAAATAAAATAGAAAATAAAAAAGATTGATTGTTTTTACATTGATGAACGTAGTTGTTACTCAGACCGTATCTTTATTATCTTCACCTCACGAGGCTCATGTCATTGTGTGATGCAAATTCATGATTATTAAATAGTTTCTCATAATAATGATCTTTATTTTTTATTCAAAGCGGGGGAAATAAGCTTCCGTACATTTTTGTTCTTAGCGATGAAACGTAAGTTATGTGTGTGAGAACAGAGGAGTACTGCATTATCATAAGACCGGTTAGCTTAGCACAAAGAAAGGAAATCAGGTCAGACGCTAACACAGTCTACCCACCAGCGACTTTAGAGCTCGCACATTTGTATTGTTCATTTAATCTTTACAAAAACAGATTTTTTATTTAACATGTGATGTTTTAAGTCTTTAGCAGTTACCTTTACGCTCTATGACTTTGTGCTAAGCTAACCTGCCTGTAACTTCATATTTAGAGTGACAGCAAGATCCTCCTTGTGGCAGTGGCAAGTGGGTGGCAACTTTGTGACAGGCAGCGGCAATCGCCAGTAAATCAGTCGGTGTCACGACGGCACGCTGGGTGGGAGGAGCCAATTTTTTCCAGAAACAACTGTTATTTGTACGACAGGTCAGCTGCTGTAAATATTTAATTTTATTTAATTTTATTTAATTTTATTTGAGATACGTGAGCCCCCGTCTTCTTATTACAAAGGCTAATTTTAGGTTTGGACCGGCGGGTTCCGTGTAGGGGGTGGGGCTCTCAAGTTTGATGCCACCCACTTGCCACTGCCACAAGGAGGATCTCGGCCTTACTGCATATTTAATGGACAGAAGTAAGTGGTATCGACTTTCTCATCCAACTCTACTAGAAAGCGGATACAAATATTTCCCAAAATGTCAAACTTTCTTTAAAAGAGGAAGGAAAAACATTTTCCTGGTTCATCACATAAAGACTTTGCTTTTGTCAGTTAGTGAATCTGCTAAATACATTTTTAGTTTTTGCTGCTTTAAAAAAATAACTTTTTCCATCCGGTTGCTTTCATTTGTCCTTCACAAAAGTCTGTGGATGCAGCCGCAACATTTTTTTAGCCTTTGAGTGGTTAAAGCAGGAAAAAGAATCAGGAAAATTTCCTGCAGCTTTATCCTCCCAATGATGCGTTAAAACCCCAGGTTGGCTCCTTCAGCCTCATTGACTGTCTCTAAGCAGAACGTAGTGGCGTTAACTTATTTAATAGTTTGTAACACAGATAAAAAACAATGCTTTGTAGAAGTACATGAGTGAACAGTTGTGTTGTCTACTTTATTTAACCTTTTTTTTTTACAATAATGAACGATTAGTGAAAGAGGAACTTTTGGAAGAGTCCAACTTTATCTAAGATATTTACAGTGTTACAGATGAAGAAAAGTAATCAACTTGGTTAGGACGTGCTGATTTGTATGCTGCTTTGTGTTACCATGACGACTGAGGCCTACAGGCGTTTTGGGTCCTTAAAAAAAAAAACCCAGCTCCACCCAGCTCCTCTGGCCTGCCTGCACTCCACGCAGCCGCTACTCCAGTCGACAAAACGATCGCACAAAAGGAGAGGCCGAACACCGTCACATACTGTGGAAAAAGGGGGGCCAAGTGGAGTGCATGCTGGGATTTTACTTTTTGGGCCCCCGGTGTAGCGCTGGGAGTGCAGAACATCCAGAATACAAAGAAAAGCAGCAAAGAGCGACAGAAGGAATGAAGGAAAACAGACGAGTGCATAGCGATCTGGTCCCAGAAGCCACATGTGACGAAAGGAGAAGCAAGTGCGTCAGTGTCTCAGGAATCACAACCCCCCCCCCCCCCCCCTCCCCTAATCTGAACCCCTACCGTCTGCCACCAGGCACGTCTTGGTAATCAACACCGCTAAAATGTCTCACTATGTCGTGCCTCAGCGTTTTGGATTGGAAAGCCTTCTGACGCATGGGGGTAAAGTGAGAGATGCGTGTTTACGGCTTCAGCGCTTGCCGAGGCTCCAGAGCGGGTCGAGGCTGCTGAGCGGGTCCTCGCCGCCTTCCTCCCCTCGAGTCCCGTGGAGACCCTGACCCTCCGTCGGCGCCAAGAAGCTCTGCTTGGTCACCCGCTGCCGGCCCTTGCCCCCTCCCTCCATGGAGAAGGCCTCGGGCGTCAGCGCGGCCAGCAGCTCCAGGGACGAGGGCGCCGGGGCGGAGGAGGCGGGAGGCGGGCTGGAGCCGGGCGTGGAGGGGGAGGCGGCGTCGAGGCCGTTGGGCGGCGGCGGAGAGTTGGGCGGGGAGACGAGCGGCGGGCTGAAGGAGGAGGGCGGCCGGGGGAGCGTGGGGGGGAAGCGGTCCAGGGGCGCCGGGACGTCAGCCAGGGAGTCGAGGCCGGGCGGGATGGCGCCGACCTGCCCCTCGAGGCCGTAGGGGGCCTCCATGGCGGGGTCCGTGGCGCTGGGGGGCCGGATGCTGAGCTTGGCGATGGTGGCTTGAATGGAGCTGATGGGCATGTCCCCACCGAGGACAATGTCCTGCTGAGACTCCTGTCTCGAGTAAGGCTGCAGAGAGACAGTTTAGAGTGTTTAAATAATAATAGAGATATGTAGAAATATAGTAATAATATGTGTTGCTTTTTAAGCAATGAAGCGTCTCTTCAGAAGTTTGACTTCAGAGTTCAAATAATATAAACTTGAACATAAACATAATTAGGTTTATTTTTTAAAGTTGAAATAATGGCTGATAGAAAAACTGCATAGTTGATGAGATCACGTTAACTGGGCGGTCGTATCACAGATCTCCAAAGTGAGGCAACTTCATCATGACATGAACCTGAATGGAGATCTGAGGCAGCCAGACCTTTGAGGCTGCAGAGCTGGTGTTCCTGCTGCAGGTTGCCGTGGTGATGCCGTGTCTCTGGAGGACCTGCTCGGCGTGCTTCAACACGGCCTCATAGCAGAACTTCAGGTGGAGCTGCAGGCAGACGCACAACACGATATTCATACCCTCAAAACTGGAAGGACATCCGGGTGGAATTTAAATAAAAGACTATGACAAGCTCAAGAAGTGAATGTAAACTTTTCTATAGAAAAGAAAAACAGTGAAAGGAAATGCTGCTCCATTGAATGTTTCTCCTGCACAGTCTACTGCTGCATGCTCCTGGTCCACACAAACCTCCTGCAGCTATCGACCTCTAAAAGAAATCACAATGCAAAGCTTCTGCAGTACGTTGAGCTCTTTGTGTCTGACCTTCTCCTGTAGCATGTTCTTCCTCTGTTGTCTCATCTTCTTCACCAGCAGTGGAAGGTCCGGGATCCCGTTTCCCGCCTCCAGCTCCTGCAGCGCGGCGTACAGCAGGCAGAAGACGCCGGTGCGTCCCACGCCAGAGCTGAGACAGACAAGAGTGCGCCTTTAATAACACAGATACATACTTCTAATGGATTTAGTTTCTCTGATTATCAGTATTTCTCTCCTTGAGCTGCTGTAACTTAGATTTTATATTCATAGATTTGGGGAGCATTTGGTTATCTGCCTGATGTTGTTTGCCATGGAACTGTTGAATTACTCGCTGTCTGGATGCAAGGAGAATTGTAACAGAAAGTGGTTTAAACAACATAAAAAACCACCTGCAGTGCACCACGACAGGTGTGTGTAAGGGCCGCTGGTGGAGGTAGTGTCCGTGAACCTCCTGAATGAATCGTAGCAGGTTGCTCTTGCTGTCAGGAAGAGCCCTGATGAGGGAGTTAACAAACTGATGACTCCTCTGGTTAAATATAAAGGTTTAAAAAAAAAAGAATCCCAATAACACAATGACTCTCACAGCTCCGGCCACGCGGTGAACTGCAGGTGGACGACGGTGCGCTTCAGGCTCTGGTCGCGGTACTGCAGGCTGATCATGCGCTCCACGTGCGTCGGCGTCGTCTTCTGCGTGGTGAGGCTGAGCGTGATCGGCCCCTGGGCGACCTGCTGGCCGCGCTCCGTCGGGAAGTAGCGCACGACCTTTCCCTGGGATGAGGAAAAACAAACTTTCATTTAAACACAGAACTCTTCTCACACACACACACACACATTTGAATCACTTCCATATTCACCCCAGTGCAGAATAAGCCACGCCCCCATACCTTTTCCAGCTCCTGCTCTGAGACCAGCATGACTATCAGTGACACCTTCTGCTCAAACACCATCAGCCAGAAGTCGGCCGCCGTGCCGGAGAGCGGCGCCTGCGTGGCGATAAGGCGCGGGCAGTACGGCGACAAGTCTTCCACGTAGCTGGAGTTGATGTAGTCGTCTTTGCCCGATTGCAGCACCACGCGGTTGAGGTCGTACGGCATGACGTCCTGGTGACGGTTCTTCATGGTGTAGCAGCGGGCGATGGCGATGGACAGCTGCCGCGCGTCCTTCTCCTGCTGGTCCTGCAGCTCTTTCCAGCGGGCGTCCAGCACCGAGAGGCCGCCCTCCTTCTCCGTGGGGTGCTCCAGAGAATCCACCTGCGCTCTGAAGCGCTCCAGTTCGCCGTGAAGGCGAGTGACGCGCTCCGGCGCCTGGTACGGGTCGCCCTGGATCAGCAGAACGCCCTGGGAGTTCTTCTTGCGGCGCTCCCCATCCTGCGGGTCGGCTTTGGTGGGCTGGAGGACGTTGGTGGGGGCCTTGGGGCCTCCTGGTTGGCTCTCCGGGCTTGAAGAGAGGAGGTCATCGGTGCTGGAGTTCTGGCGCTGAAACAGAGATGTGGAGGGAGAGACGGCAGAGGGAGTGGGAAGAGTGGGTGGAGCTGCGCCTGCTGGGGTGGGGGCTGGTGTGGTTCTCTGCTGGGAGTTCAGACTCAGAGAGGTGGGTCCTGGAGAGGGAGATGGCGAGGGTGAAGGCGACGGGGGAGGACGGACAGCGGTGGGTTGTTGAGCCGCTGGAGGACCGACAACAGCAGGTTGGATCATGTGGTGGGTGGGGGGTGCGTGTGCACCGCGTGGGCCCATGGGGGCGGGTTGCTGTGGAGCTCCGGGAGCAGAAGGATACATGGTGGAGGGCTGCGGGTGGGTCATGGGGAGAGGAGCTGCAGGCTGCACAGCCAGAGGCTGTTGAGGCATCATTGGAGCCCCTCCAGGGTAGCACACTCCCCCAGAATGAGGGGGCTGAGTTTGGGGCTGGCCGGGCATCTGCATGGGCTGCTGGGGCATGTTTGGTAAAGGAGGCTGTCCGGGGTGGGGGTGATGTTGATGGGGTAGTGCACCGGGAGGCATCTGTGGCATAGCGCCGCTGGGCAGATAGACCTGAGATTCGGGGCCCATGAGAGCTTGCGAGGCCGGAGGCATCTGAGGCCGCAGGGTGGGGTGAAGGGGCTGACTCGAAGGGGGCATGTAGGTCTGCGAGACTGGGGGCTGACTCGTGGCAGGCATCTGTGCCCTGGGACCACCTGGTATCTGCATCTGCGGGTGGGGCGGGATCTGCTGGGCACTGTGGGGCATTGGTATTTGTTGCTGTGGGTGAGGGAGTCCATGGGGCATCTGTTGGTGGGGATGGGGCAGGTAGGGCTGAGACACAGGAGGTGCTGGCTGAGAGGTTGGGGGTGCGTGTGGATGCGCAGGCTGAGGTGGTCTTTGCATGGAGCCCGGCATCATCTGAGGGTGTTGCTGGGGGACGTAGCCCGGTGGAGTTTGGTAGCCTTGTGGGAGCGGAGGCTGCGGCTGATAGCCGTTGTGTTGATGTGGCTGCACGTGACCCGGGAACCCCTGCTGGTAATGGGGAGGAAGGGCATGCTGGGGGGGCATATATCCATGAAGGTAGCCCTGCTGGGCCTGGAGATGAGGGTGGGGGCCGGGAATAGCCGCCGGCCCGGGCTGGTACCCCTGAGGCGGCGGATGCCCCATGGGCTGAGCGTATGGATGTTTCTGCAGCTGCGGTTGGGGGGGTGGTCCTTGAACGGGCATTCCTGGCCGGGGCATAAACTGGGGGTAGGTGCCCATCTGTGGGGGTAGAGTGTAGCCAGTTGAAGCCGCGGGGACACCGTGGTGCTGCGGTGTAGGGGCGTAGCTGGGGAGGGGGACCTGATTGCTATCCACGGTGGCGGTAGAGGGCCGGACCGGGGTCGGGGCTACAAGGACGGGGTGGGGGGCTTGAGCGTGGCCTGGCCGATAACCCGACGCGGCTGCCTGGTTTGGCAGTTGCGGAAGCATCTGCGCCGTCATCTGAGGGAGGGGTCCCCGTGGCAGTGGTCCGTGAGAAGGAAACTGAGCGATCCGCGCCAGGAGCTCCGGGGGGGGCAGGTGGGCGGGGAAGCGAGCGAGACCGGCGGCCGGAGCACCGGGCCACGGCAGAGAGCTGCTGCCGCCCGGGTTGTGCATCGAGGGGAGGAAGGCTTCAGCACCCGGAAGACGAGCCGCGGAGGTGGGGAAAGAGGACATGTCAGGGGGGAGGCTGCGCAGCTCTTCGGGTAGGTCACCCCCCAGGGCCAAGATGGCTGCACTAAGCTGGGCCAACTCCGGGTCATCCAGGCTGGAGCAGGCCGAGTCGCTATCCGAAGCCTTGGGCTTCAGGGTGGGCTTGGCCGCTGTGGGTCGGGCTGGCGGCCTCTTCTGGCTCTCTCTGATGAGGGGGGGGGGACAAACAAGATGAGACACTTTGATTTTGAGTTCATTTTGGGGCCCCCATTGGGTGAAAGTTGTGGCGTTTCCGATCACCAGAAGAAGAAACCATTAGAAGAAGTGTCCAGCATTATAAAAGATCTTCTCTGACGGTCTTGCTTACTTATTTTGAGTCATAACTACAAAAATGAGGCCACTTCATAAACTGTTAAAAAGGTGAAAGTTAAAAATTAAAATGTCAAAAAGGTGCCTAGATTATGTATTATAACACTTTCACAATAAGATTCTCATTGAGAGAGTACAGATTTCAAACCTTTAAAGCTATTCATGTTTGAGTTTCATTGTGAGCCTCACTTTTCCAAGGCGGGCTTCCGGTCCTCAGCCCTGGTCTCGCAGAGGGTCTTGGCTCTCTCCAGCAGCCGTGACGCTTTGGCCTCCAGGTCATCGTAGAACTCCTTCCCCTCTTGGGACTTCTTCATCAGGTCCTCGTAGGCCTCGTAGGAGCCCACCAGTCCGTGCACGGTGGCGTTCCACTGCTGCTCCGTCTGGCTCAGGCCCTTACGGACCGAGGCGTACTGGACGTTGGCCTCCGTCAGGGCCTTCAGGATGTTCTCCTGAGCCGCCAGGTTCTGCTCGATGTACACCTTCACCTGCTCGTACTTCTTCAGCTGCTCCTCAAATGTACGCTGAAAGGACACCGGCTCGTTAGAGGTCTCCAAGTCTCACCGCTTAGCTCATTTTTATCCTTTTAAGTCTAAATGTTATCCTTTGTAAAGTCATAAAGTCTTTCTTTCTCCATTAAAACTTTTAACAAAAGATCAGGACAATGTTTTTTTTTATTGACTAAAAGAAATTATTAGTTTTGATGATGTATTATAAGCTGCTTAGATTAAAAAAAATGTTAATGTTAAGTAAATTCCCAGTCAAAACTGGATTTTACGAGTGTAAAAGTGACCACATCATGATTGAACAGACCCTGAACGTATCTGATGACCGTAAGTTTAAACACTGACTGGTTGTTCACAGTTAAACTTCATCAGAGATCAAAAAAGCATGACTGCCAGATCGAATATTTGACTAAATATCAGTTTGTAGCGATCGTCAGTCAAACTTTCTCTCACACGTTGGACTGTGTGGTTACCACAAACCTTCATGTCGGCCCTTTCTGTGGTGACCAGCGTGGAGGTGATGTCATCTTGCTGGATGAGGTCGCGGAGTTGTTTCTCCAAAGAGTTTCTCTGTTCCCTCATTTCCTGAACTTTCCCCAGGATCCGCTTCATACACTGCAGGCCTGCCACTTCATCTGCGCGCACACACACACACACACACACACACACACACACATGACGACTGCATCCCATACGCCCTTTGGGCCTGAAGCTTAAAATCTGAAAGCTTTTCAGCCCTTTAAACATTAAAGAGATTTCAACTGTTTTGATAATAGATAGTAAAATAAATAGTTTATAACATTTCCGTCGTCACGTGAGGGTTTTCTGCTTTTCCTTCTCTTCAGGTAGAGCTTATGGATATCTTTTACATTTTAAATTGTTACTCTGAGAAAACAAACAATTTCAGGACCCGCAACACTAATTATAGGCCAAACAATGAATTCCTCAGATGTATTGTTAACAACGCATGATGTCAGCTCTCAGAGGACTGCAGGTTACTTTCTTTCATCGAACCTTAATGGTTCTAATTCAGGCTACCTCAAACACAGAGCCGAACCCTTCTGAAACACACAACCCCTCGGCCGCCGGCCGCACACCTTCGCTGAGCTGGGGCCGGGGCAGGGCCTCTTTCAGGCTTTCCAGAGGCCCCCCGAGCAGACGCAGGTTGCTGATGTGCAGGTTCATGGCCCGGTGGAGCTCTGTGTTGGTGAAACTGGCTTTCTCGTGCGCCTCCATGTACTTCTCCAGGTCCCTGCGGATCTCAGCCAGAGCCTGGGCCTGAGCCGCGGGGTGCACGTCGCCGGCAGGGGGGCCGCCCGCCTGCTGCAGGGCTCGCCTGCCTGCCTCGTCCTCCTCCAGGACGTCTCTTATCTCCCTCAGCGAAGACTCCACGTCGGTGAAGACGCCCGAGAGCCCTACAGAGCAGAGGACATGTGACCGGTGCCATGTACTCCGTAGATGGACAGAACAAACAATTTTAACAAATATGGCACAAAAAAAAAAAAAGATTTATTGCTTGAAAGCAATAAATGTCCCTTTCTGCTTGAAAGGGACAATTACGAATTGTTGTGATGACAGGAATCAGCATTATTGGCCTTAACAAAAACGTGACTTTGTTTTTGGTTGCTCTTGATGTGCATGGTTAGAAACAAAGCTGTGCAAGAGCAAACATAACAAGGAAAACAACCTCTATGTTTCTGTAAATTATAATAATACACAAGCAGCGTTGTAATATGCTGGAATAAATATTGAATAACAAAACAGGTTGCTTTACGACCTAATGTGCACACAGTTTACAGTATATTCAGCGGCTCAGACTCATATTTGGCTGTATGCGTACAATAAAAATATCAAATACATATCGGGTTGTTTGTCAGGGTGACGGCGTGTGGGAAGGTAATGCTCCTGTTGTTATGGCAACATTAAGTTTACCATCAGCCTGTTCTTCTCACATATTCTTTGAAATGCTAAATGTTCCTCAGAATGTCCGTGCACAATTGGATCATAATTAATTAGTTTTTGTTGCGCCTAAATGCCTGCGCGTGTTTCTTCCTCACTGACCCTGCATGGACTGGACGAGGCTCTTGACGGTGTCGGGTCGGACACTCAGAGCGGCACACTTCTCCATCAGGACCGGAGGGATGTGGCTGTACATGTCCAGATTGTCCACCGACTCGGGCTCCAGACCCAGAGAGTCCATGAACTGCCTGCAGGAGGAGACGAGACCAGTCAGCTCAAACAGACACAATCATTCTGTTCCTTTCAGTAAGTGACTTCCACTTTTCTGCATGGAGTTTGAGTCTGAAATACAGAAAGTACCAACATCATGAACATGATGGATTCATAAAGCAGGTACTGATCAATTCTTACTGACATTTTATATTCCATCTATATTTATATACCAAACCACAACCCAAATATTCAGCAGATAAATTTAGAATGAAAATAATGATAACATTCAGTCCTGAATTACCTTAAATTGGTAGGACTGTTGATTACATACGTGTTTGAGGACTTTCACCAGGAAAACAAAAAGAGCCGCACGGCATTTAAACGTTGTTTCAGAACTCAAATGTCAAAGTTCCGAATGATATATCAAACTTGTCGGCACAGCAAACAACATTTCGCCGAGGTTGGCTGAAAAGCTCCGTGTGGGCGCAGAGTAAATACTGACGTGCATCCCGGCCCTGTGGGTTGGACTCTAGTGTGTGTGATGTGTGCTTTCTGACGGTAACCAGGACTCACTCCAGCGTCTCATTCTTGCTGTCGATCTTGGTCATTATGTCCCTCAGCAGCTTGGCCTTCTCCTCGCTGGAAACAAGGTCAAAAGAAACAGAACCACAGACATCAGGGAACTAAACTCGCTCTTCTCCACCAGTTTGATACTTTGCTTCCCGCGAAGGCCCCCACCTGTACAGCGAAGAGGCTTCGTGGGCGGCCATCGGCACCAACTTGGCAAACAGGTCTGGTCCAGTAACACTGGGGTCTGTGGGGTTCACCGGCAGCGCTTTCACCAGCGGGGCGCCTTGGACGACAATAACACATGAGCCCGACTGTTTCCTCAGGCGTTTCATTCAACTCCAACAAAAAGTAACACGGATGAGACTTTTTTTTGAGTCCCATGGTCGAACAAGCCAGCAGCACACCAAGTTAAACAAATCCAAAGACACACAACGGGCCGCTCACATCATCCTGCATACGTCTATATGCAAACGCTGCGTTGCATGCACGCCATAATAAAAGCCCGGAGCTTCTTCCTGTTACCTTTGACCGAGGCCAGAGTCTCCAGAGAAGGAACCGTCTCGTGATAGATGAAGTCATTGTCCTTTTTGGCTGAATTAAACCTGTCGGTGACAAAGGCAGCATTACAACGGTTACTATATTTGCACAAGGCACCAGTGAAACAGCAGCCGAATGACTGAGCTGACAAGTGGAACAAGATGCACTGCTCACTTTCCCCCGATGACGTCCATGGTGAATCTCAGGGCGTCCTGCACGCTGTCGGGCTGTCCCTTGAAAACACAGAGTGTGTGTGTGTGTGTGTGTTCACATTGATTTACAAAACTAAGGAAGTGGTTATGGTGACACGGGCATCATCTGATTATCTGTAGCTGAGAGCCTACCTTCGCCAGCTTGATGGCTTCAGTGAGTTTGTCCAGGGAGCTCTGTAGGTACGCCAACTGATGGAAGCAGAACATGTCGGTTAGGAGGACGCGAAAGGACTGGAGTAAGATGTAGGACACATCGAGACATTTAACCAGCTGTGCACTAAACCAGCTCAAAGAGGCTCCTGAGAAACGGCTGTGAAGTGTTCGATCCCCTGAAAAAGTCCTGGTATCAATAACATCTGATCGACTTCTAGCACTATTGGAAAAAAATATTCACTAAGTAAAAAAATAGCAGTCTTTGTTGAGAAGAAACTGATGTGCATTTATGAATTATGATTTGGATTCATTATTTGCAAACAAGAGAAACTGTTCTTTTCTGTCTGGAACCAAATGATCAAAGTCACAGCACCTCGACAGTGGAAGGAATCAAATAAAATCCTAATTTGGACCTACACGCTCGCCGTACTTCTGCTGCTCCTCGGCCTGTTTCCCCATGTGAAGCTGTTAGGGGGACAAGGATAAATATTACATATATATATAAATAATGTAATCTTAACACACCAACACGTTCTCACATGCATTAAATCCATCTCTACTCACATGTGCGATAGAAGCAAAGTAGTAGATCTTCATCTGGACCAGTTTCTTCCAGTCTTTCTGAATCTTTCCCAGCATAGACGCGGTCTCAGAGTTCTCCAGCGCCCTGCAGGCCTCTTTGTAGTAATCCACCACCTGGAGCACCACATCCACTCATTAACCACGGAAGTGATGCAATTAAATGAGATTCATATCCACTGGTAAGAAGTTGACCTGAGCACTAATGCGAGCGACCAGAAAACTCTTCCTGTTGTCCAACATGGACTTCTCCAGAAGACACTCCTGAGCCTGTCCCTGGGAGGCAAACATACAAGTATGATGAGACAGGTTCCCACAAGTGTGTGTGTGTGTGTGTGTGTGTGTGTGTGTGTGTGTGTGTGTGTGTGTGTGCGTGCGGCCTACCAGCATGAGGTTGATGTTGAGGTTGAGGATTTGGTGGCTCATGTCCACGCTGAAGTTGTGGCTGAAATGGTCTCTCAGGTAGGAGAACGCCCCGGCCGAGCACTGGAAGTGCGTGCACGACACCTTCATCCCCTGGACGCAGTGCAGAGAGTCAGCGGGAGTTTGTGTGTGTGTGTGTGTGTGAGTGCGTGCGAGTGAGTTTGTGCGTGTGCGCATCTCACCTCCTCAGATACCCTGTTATCCATGGCTCCCAACATGGAGTGCAGGGCCCCTACGGAGGACACACAGAAAGGTTGAACGTGAGTTCATGGATCCAGAAGCTTTCCCATGCAGCATTTGACTCAATTCAGAGGTGTGAGATGATATTATATGCACATAAAACGTTACAGTCCAAGTCAGAGTAGTCTTTTTTCAATTATTCTGCAAAGACAAAATAAGTTGCTCTGCGTGACTCACCCAGATTGTAGAGGATGCAGGCCTGCTCGTAGCTGATGTCGTCGTGGGTGACCGTCTTTCCAGAGAAAATCTCCGTCCTGCACACAAACAAAAATTAAATCACACATTAGAGAAGGACAGTTTTTTTTTTATTTTCTTCATAAATATTTAACAAAAAGTGAATAGCAGCAAATAAATACAGTTATCAGTCTGATACCGTTCTGTTCAAACGGAGGGTGTGTGTGTGTGTTCCTACCATGAGATGGGTACGGAGGCCTCCTGGCCCGTTCCCATGGGCACTCGGCTCTGGACGTAATGCAGCTGGCCGAAGTACTTCCTCAGCGTGCTGCATCCCTCGAAGTCTCTGGTCACATTTACCGCACTCTGTGGGACAGAAACGTCTTTTACCGACAGCCAATAACTTTACAAATTGACCATCAGAAGGTTTTAATAGTGGAAATGATAAAATCTAAAAAATGCTGTCCGACAACTATTGACTATTCAGATAGGGCAGGAGTGGGGGCGGGCTCTAGTCTGTCAGCCAAATGAGCATCACAAGCCAGTGCAGATTTCATCCATGCTTAGCATGCATCAAACGCACTGATCACATGTTGTAAGTGTTTATTAATCTGCACACACACCAGAACATACAACCCTGCCTTTATAGCAACGAGTTCTGGTGTTAATGTATAGTACCAATCATTTTTCTTGCACACCTAATTGTTACATGTCCTTTGGGATCAGATCAGATCTGAGACGGATGTCTGACCGCTGAGTACGGAGCATAAACCGATGTCACTTAGTGGTTAGATCAGCTTTCACCTGCATTCAATTAAAATTTCCCCCAAGAAATAATAAAAAACCCAAATCAGTGGTCAATGTGATCCAATCAATACATGCACTTCACTGAAACTCACCAGATATGTAATGTAAGAATCACAACTTCCAGTCCACTGCCCACTAAGTCATTTTCATCTTTGAGACCATGAATACACATAATTACGGTAGGTTTAATAATTCTGATATTTCCTAGTGTATTTTGGGCGTGTAATTGTAATACAAGAAAGAGAAACGAGGCCTGGAACCAGGGAACTGTTGTTTGTGGTATTTAAAGCGATGCATCTAATAGAACAGGACTTTGAAGGAGACAAACGAGTTGGATTTACTGGGTAAAGCATCAGAGGTTTAAAGGGAACCCCTGAAACGGGGACCTGACAGAAAATGATTCAGTTTCACAGAGAACTCACCTGCCGCAGTGTCTCCAGTTTCTTCAGCTGCTCATTATAGTTGTCTGGATTCTCTCCATAATTCTTCGAGATGAACTGGAGGAAAAGAGAGAAATTTAACAAGTAGGTTGGAGACACAAGCAATACAAATCTGCCTCCTTCCATTGCTTTCATTGAAACATTGAAAAAAAAAAAAACATGTTTAAATCCTGACGAAGTAATTTGTTATGAAGTCTTTAGCTTTAAAGATTAAATGAAAATGTCTTTGAAACTGTAGCTCTATTATTAATCGGCTAATATTTTGCCCCGAGCACGAGAGGGGAGTTGGAACTCTGTTGGACCCGTAGATCGCCCATCATGCTTTGCAAAGGCTTTCCCTGTCTCGATCCTCTTAAATAAACAGGCAAGACACTTAATGTCGGGTCAGGAGGTGAAGAATTGTGCAGGCGTTGTCACTGTTTCACTGGCGCTTCTGTTTCTCTGTAATCATGACATCATGGAGGCAGGAGGGTCACGAGCGTCCTGGTTATAGAGGCACAATGACACAGCAACAAGGCCGGCCAGCATTGTCCCAACTTCCACAAGACACCTACGTGCCGCTGTGCCTTCTTCCCCTCGCTCATCAAATGAAACCGTAGCTTAGTTATGATTTTAACTAAAACCGTTTATCGTTGAGAAATCTACCATCATCCTCTTTTACAGTTTGGGCTGATAGATCCATCGCTTCATGGGAGAAACAACACCACTGGTCATCTACCTGTTATCAGAGATTAATATTGGGGTTTCAAAGTCACTTCACCTGATGAAACAATTAAAATAATCTGTTCTTCAGGGCCATTTTTTTTAACGAGCTTCTTCGTGAATATCACTAAAGTCATGACGCATTACTAAATGAAGGTGTTGATTGTTGGCAGTCAATTGCAAAAATATCTGAAGTTGTATAAACCAGAGGAGTGGCCGCGAAACATGAGGGCAAAGATCTGTTACTCTTATGGCCACCAGGAAATAGTTCAACAGGAAAAGACACCACCACAACCACACACACACACACACACACACACACACACAGAGCTGACATCACTGAAGTGTGTATGTGCTTCTTTTTAAATCACTATTACAATCAGTTGGTTATCTGATTAATAATATCAAAACGTGTTTGTATGACCTTGTTTCCCTGGTTCGTATTTGTAAAGCATGCGGTTCCTAATGTCACACGATCTGGTACCAGGTATAAGTTGCCTTCCTGTGTGACGTGCAGCGGGTCTCTCCTCCGGCCGGGACCTTCAGACCTTCTGTCGGCCGGTCAGGTGCGTGTGACAGTGAGATCACCGCTTGTTATTTTCCACGTCGCCACCCTCGCCGTGGGGAGCTCGGCTCGCGTATTTTAACAACGCGGGTCTCGAAGGCGTTAATTCGGTTTGTCCACGGGTCACAGAAAACGTCGTTGAGCCACTTTGCTGCGGCGCTAACGCTACTTATGCGAACTTCGAGGTGAGCTGCTAGCTTATTATTGTTATTAGCTAGCGCAGAGCTAACGTTAGCAAACGAAAGGCGGTGGTCGGGTTCACATGTAAGCTAGCTGGGGCGTTGGGAAATACCCCCAACATGCACTAGCGGCTTGCTCTTTTACTTAACGCTGGCTAACGCCGGCATCTTTGTTGAGATATCCAGTCGTCCGTAATCCCTGTTCGGTTGACTCTCGCCCTCCGCCCTGTTGCTCCTCTCCCCCACCCAGCTCACCTGCCTGACGGCCGGGCTGAACTGGAACTCTCCAGCCTCCTTCAGATCCAGCCAGATCATCGGCATGCGGGGAACCGCCTCCATCGCGGCCCGTGTCGGCCGTTACGATCTCAGAACCCACGTCGGTAGCTTCGTGTGCGAATGCGGTGGTAGAGAAGAAGATTTTCCTCCAAACAACTGTGTCATGTATCCATTTCTCCTTAACCGGAAGCTGGCTCCATGTGACGTCAGGTCTTTATATTCGCCGCGTGGGTTTGTGGGAAATGAAGTTGTAATACAACAGTCCCATTTCTGAACAAATAATATTTTTTAGTAAAATTGACGCATTTGTTCTGATTTTTCAAACGTATTTTAATTTAGTATGCGCTTACTTACTGGGCAGGTACAGTAAACAGTACAGTAGGTAAACATTGCATAACCTTTAAACTATCATGAATTTAAAGATACAAAATATTTGATCCGGAAGCTTCTTAGGTCACATGCAACATGCTTTTCTCCCTGAAATAGAATGAAATATATCGGGAAACAATACGTGTGTGTGTAGATAAGATATAGTAGAAGCAAATAATCACCTTTCAGTTAAGTTTCAAAAAAGTATCTTTGGATCTATTAAACATCTTTTTACATTTTCATTTGTAAAAAAACATATTTAATCCTCCAACTTTCTGGGTTAATTTAACATCCTTTATTCATATCAAAATACATTATTTCTACATGTCATTTAGCTGATGCTTTATCCAAAGCGACTTACAATAAGTGCATTCAACCACAGGGATACAAACTCAGAAGAGCAAGAAACAACAAAGTGCAATTTCATCAAATAAGCCAATTTACAATTTGCTATAGATAAGTTGCGTTATAAGTACAATTTACGTGCTACAATTTGTTAGTCTTTTAGTCGAGGTAGAGTCTGAAGAGGTGTGAAGGCGATCCTGGTGTCATCAGAGAGCTCGTTCCATCATTTTGGAGAAGGACAGCAAACAGTCGTGATCTTGTTGAGTGTTTTGCTCTCAGTGAGGGAGGGACAAACAGTTTTGCAGATGCAGATATTATGATTCACTTTTTTCTCTTTGCAAAATCCTCTGCAGCAACTGCAAAAAACACTAAAAACTGCATTATTATAAGGCCATGAAATGTGTGGTTTCAACACTTTGTCATACTCTCGTATATGAATTTCACAGTTCCTTGTATGTCTAACATATTTTGGCAATAAATGTTCCTGATTCCTGATATTCAGTATGTTTATTTAATCAAACAAACGGTCAGGAAAATGGTCTTGAATTTCAAAAATGGACTTTTCTGAAAATATTTAATATTCTCCAAAAGTTTGGAGTAATGCAATCAGTTCTGCACATACGCGTTTTGCTGCTGTCACCTTCAAAATAAACGTACTTCCTTTTAAACACAGAATGAGTAAACATCATCGTTTGTTGTGTGAAAGGAAAGCCTGTGGGAAGCGCAAGATGAAACAAAATTAACCTCCTCACGTAAACATTTGGACTTCTAAGCGAAAAGAACCCGAGTATTTTCACCTAAAACACATCAGATAGGGAATTTGAGCTTTTGTTTTATTTTGAGTCCAACCGGAAGACCGCAGCTCCAATCCGCCCCGCTTTACACTTGTCCCTTCGCCGCCATTTTTGATCCTCAAATAAAAAACTAAAAACAAAACACAAATGACAGGCTAATTCACAAATAAGTCACGTCACAATCACCCGAGACTTTACCAGACATCATAAATACTTAGTAGCTACTCAATTGACATCGCCATTTCGAGGCAAGTATACTACGATAACATTACTCATATGAATAAGGATCACAACACGTTGATCAAAATAAAGTAAAAAAGTTAACATTTATTTAGAAGAGAAAAAGATTACATGAGCAACTCTCCGCAGATATCTGGCTCTAACTATTGCTTGCAAGCAGGAGGTCGAACACAAAAGCACGTATTTCAGCGTTCGGTGTAAATGGCGTCTCTGAGCAGTAAAAGCGCTGAGTTTTTATGCACATGTGAAGTCTATCCTCAGTGCCAGGTACGAGAAGCAAGTAAGATATGAACCAAGGCCATGAACAGAAGTCCCTTGTATCGAAGCGTCTATGAGATCGAGAACGAGGCCTTCTCAGGACACAGCTGCAAACTAACATTTTGTATCATGCTGCTCTTTGCACGTCAGGGTCAAATACGGAGACTTGAGACCCGGGTTTAGCACAACGTATTTTACCATTACATGCATCTCACAACATCCAACACAATCACCCATTTACACGGAATATGTGGACTGTCTTGTGGAAATCTTCTTTGATGTGACACATTCTTCTGGGGCCAGGGGAGGTAATAAAGATGTGTGCCAAGGACTTCAGTGCCAAACACACACTTCTTACAGCACGGCAAATAGTGCCTTTATTTACAGGTTCGGCATATAAAGACACGGCGCTTGCAAAAAAGCGCCGTGCCATACGGAGCATGTGTGGGATGGTGAGATGGCTTCACGCTGGTCTGATCTGTCCAAAACATCCTCTCGTGTCTGAAAGCACGTCTCAATATCAGTGCTTCTTCATCCAAAACGTGGTTCAGAAATGGGCATCACGGTGCAGAAAGAAACACAGGTGAATGGGACTTTATATATCGGCCTCATCACGTTTACAATTGTTCACTCCTCAGTTTAAAAGAAAAACAAAATTGTGATTAGGCTAGAGTAAGATGAATTAGTGATTTTTTAAAAATACATAGACCGCTCTAATATATATAAATATCCCTCATATATATATAAATATCCCTAATATATATATATATATATATATATATATATATATATATATATATATATATATATATATGTGTATATATAAAACCACACATTCCGTTGTCATTCCGTTGTCATGAAGTCCACTCTATGACACGGACTGCGTTTCCATGACAACGGAATTGTGACATCATCAACAAATCCTTTGATGTATCTAGATGCACTAGATCATTGCGTTTCTGGTTCCAGAAGAGTGCAGTTGGATATTTTCTCTCGAAAGTATCTGCGATATTTGTCCTTTACAGACTTAAGTAGTTTTTTGGAAGATTCACCACCGTTTTTCAAAGGTTACATCGAGTCATTTAGCGACAAATAAAACACCAGTCTTTTTTAAGACTACACCCCTTTTCAGGGCTGTCCAACAGTCTTTTTCAAGACTACACCCCTTTTCAGGGCTGACCAACAGTCTTTTTCAAGACTACACAAGTGTCATTTAACATGTACCGTAGAAACAACCAGAGAATTGGAGCTGGCGCTTCACTTCTCGGGACTCCTCCCACCGGATACAATGTGAACATGGCCCTTTCTCGTGCACAGAACGAAGTGCACTACCTGAAAAGGCAAGTGAGCGAACTCACCGCTCACACTGAAACTCTGAAGTTCAAATCGACCAACATGTTAAAAGGCAAAGATCTTGCCTATGAGCAGATGGTTGACAAGAACAGAAAGAGGTTTTCAGACCTTATCAGGGAGAACGATGTTTTATCTCTGAAGGTCAGAGAGACCGAAAAACTCGTTGTCAAAAATGCTGAACTCATGGTCAAGAACGAGACCTGGCAGCAGAAATATGAAGATCTGGAGAAAAGGACAACCAAGGAACTGGATGACCAACAACAGTCCTTGGAGTCTCAAGTAACAGGGTTACTCTCCACCAACATTTCTCTTCAAGAGAAGCTGCACAAGCAGGAGGCCAACAACCAACAGTTGGAAGCAGAACACAAACTGCTAAAGATCAAGACAGAGGCTCTGGATGAGACTATCAGGGAGAACGAGGGTTTATCTCTGAAGCTCACCGAGACCACAAAACAACTTTCTGTCAAAAGTGCTGAACTCACGGTCAACAATGAGACCTGGCAGCAGTTGGAAGCAGAACACAAACTGCTGAAGACCCAGAGGGATTCTCTGGCTGCTTTAAAAAAGAGCCAAGAGGAGACCCACCACGAGATGGTCACAAGCAGTGGTTTCACTGAGTTGTGCCTGATCTCTACGATCCAACAAATGGAGGATACCATCTCCAAAGAACATCAGATCCTTATCACCAGGATCCAAGAATTAGAGGACGACAAAACAGTCCTTGAAAACATCTGCCTCGACTTAAAGAAAAAAAAAAGAGGCATCTTTGGGAGACGTATGCAAGACCGGCAGACGGAGATGGACAAAATGAGGCGCAAGATGCAGGACAAGGAGACAAAGAAATAGGAGAGAGAAGAGAAGAAAAAGGAGACCATCCAGGACAACATCAACGTGCCTGAGACTGGACACCGGTAAGAACACCTTCCTTCACCTCCCACTCCATCCCACCTCATCCCCATCTACCCCCCCCCCACCCCCCGGCATAGAACGCCTCCTCATTCATTGGTAAATATCATTGCCATTGTATATTTTATTCCCTGTGCTCCAGGAAGTGTTTTTTACAACTTCATCGACTGGACAGCAGCACAGCACGGCCTCTGAGGAATGAGGAATCTTTTTCATCTCATCGATTTCCTTCTTTGGTTAATGCAAGGCTGCAGATGAAGATGAGGGGATTTCTGTATCTGTGCATATACCCTGAACCTGGCCATTTGGCTGGTGTTTGGATGAACTACCACGGCTGGGTTGACGAATCAACAGTGACAACTTGTGAAGGTAGGCCGATAGTTTCATTCGTCTGTCGTTGGAAATTGGGATCTCGGTTTGATTTTTCAGGTTATGCATTAGTAAAGGTAGACACACATGTCCCCCTCTATAGTTTCAATGATGCCATGCCAATATTACAGTGATGCCATGCCAATATATATAACATATTATCATACTTCATATTTGTAATATCATAGATAATAACCAGATAATATAGGACTAATATAGCATTATGTAGGACTAATATAACAAACATAGTATTATACTTCATATTTCTAATATCATAGAAGATTATATAGGACTAATCTCATATAACATAATATAGGACTAATATAACAAACATGGCATCATACTTAGTATTCATAATATTATATAACTTAATATCATATACAGTGTTTTCCCTACCATTATATCCCCCAGCGCGCCCCAACACCCACGCCCCCCTCCGGTACGTCCGCCCCCCCATAGTTGGAAACCTAGGGGAAACACTGATATGACATAATATAGTAGAACTAATATAGGAGACATGGCTTTATACTTTATTTTTCCAATATCATAGAACATAATATCATAGAACATAATATCGTAGAACGAATATCATAAAATAGCATCGTATTCCATATTTCTAATATAATTTAACTTAATATCGTAGAACTAAAATAGCATCGTAATCCCTATTTCTAAAATAATTTAACTTAATACCGTAGAACTAAAATAAAATAGCATCGTATTCCATATTTCTAATATAATTTAACTTAATACCGTAGAACTAAAATAAAATAGCATCGTATTCCATATTTCTAATATAATTTAACTTAATACCGTAGAACTAAAATAAAATAGCATCGTATTCCATATTTCTAATATAATTTAACTTAATACCGTAGAACTAAAATAAAATAGCATCGTATTCTATATTTCTAATATAATTTAACTTAATACCGTAGAACTAAAATAAAATAGCATCGTATTCCATATTTCTAATATAATTTAACTTAATACCGTAGAACTAAAATAAAATAGCATCGTATTCCATATTTCGAATATAATTTAACTTAATATTGTAGAACTAAAATAAAATAGCATCGTATTCCATATTTCGAATATAATTTAACTTAATACCGTAGAACTAAAATAAAATAGCATCGTATTCTATATTTCTAATATAATTTAACTTAATACCGTAGAACTAAAATAAAATAGCATCGTATTCTATATTTCTAATATAATTTAACTTAATACCGTAGAACTAAAATAAAATAGCATCGTATTCTATATTTCTAATATAATTTAACTTAATACCGTAGAACTAAAATAAAATAGCATCGTATTCTATATTTCTATATAATTTAACTTAATACCGTAGAACTGACATAAATAGCATCATATTCCATATGTCTAATAATATAGAACTAATATCATAAATATAGCACTATATTTTAATATATAACATAATATCTTATTGAAATATCATAAATATAATTTAACAGATGCTATTTTTTACGCCTAGCCATGCCTTTAATACAAAGTATAGAGGGGGACATGTGTGTCTACCTTGCCTAATGCATAACTGAGATCCCAATTTCCAACGGCAGGCGAATGAAACTATCGGCCTACCTTCACAAGTTGTTACTATTGATTTGTCAAACCGGCTGTGTGAGGTTATCCGAACATTGGCCAAATGACCGGGTTCAGGGTATATGCGCAGATACAGAAATCCCCTCATCTTCATTTGCGGCCTTGCATTTCGCCAAAGAAAGAAATGGATGAGATGAAAAAGATTCCTCATTCCTCAGGCGCTGTGCTCCGCTACTTTCCAGTCAATGAAGTTGGAAAAGAACACTTACTGGAGCACTGGGAATAAAATATACCCATTTTCATGATTACAGATTGAATGAGGAGTTGGGTCCTCAAATGCCAAAAAGTTATATTTTATTTTATTTATTTTATTATTTGTTATTTAAAAAAGTTATATTTTATTTTATTTATTTTATTATTTGTTATTTAAAAAAAGTTATATTTTATTTTATTTATTTTATTATTTGTTATTTTAAAAAGTTATATTTTATTTTATTTATTTTATTATTTGTTATTTAAAAAAGTTATATTTTATTTTATTTTTTTATTTTAAAAAGTTATATTTTATTTAAAAAAGTTATATTTTATTTTATTTTTTATTTTAAAAAGTTATATATATATTTTTATTTTAAAAAGTTATATTTTATTTTATTTTTTATTTTAAAAAGTTATATTTCATTTTATTTTTTTTTCATTTTAAATAGTTATATTTTATTTTATTTTTTTATTTAAATTTTTATTTATTTATTTTTCCCCCAATTTAAAAAAAAAAAATCTTTGGGTTCAACTGTGGGTTTTCCCTCCATCTATGGGTTTCCCACATAAAAGAAAAAAATCTCCTCCACGAATCGCCACCTTAACGTGGTGGAGGAGTTTGAGTGGCTCAGTGATCCTGTGATCTGTGTTGTCTGTGGCACAA